TGGCGTCGTTCTTTTTTTATTGGCCTCGACTTCGTATTGGTAAACAAAATGCCAGACTTGCTACAAGTCGACCTCTCATAAGTTCTTAAAAGCGAGCGAAGCGAGCTTCAATGCATGAGGTCGCGCAGCGACCGAACGAGCGACGAGGTCTCTTGGCATAACCGACCAGAAAAAAAGAAAGGACTTCTAGAAAGTCTAGCAAAATGCTAAAAAGGAATTTGTCCATATATCCAGTCATATTGACCACCTCACGCTTGGTCAGTAATGCATATTTGAAAGGTATAATGATGAAAATAAAAATAGTCGTCACGCCTTAAAACATGAATCCGCTTTCGTTTTGACAGCCTGAGTCCCTTCCTCATTCCAGCGGAAGCTCAATGATACCTCATAAAGACTAGGTATCTTCAAAATTGGCTGTCTAAGTCAGGAGTTCCAAACGGTAAGAAAAATAATGCAATAAGCAGCCGTGTTTCTACGTGACGCGGTCAAAAAAACCCTTTCATCTGTATAATTTACATGGTGGGATTGAATGATGCGGGAAGCTTCCTTGTTATGAAACTGTTCAAAAGAACGTCGAACGGAGACTTTCGCAGCAAATGGTTAGGAATTATAGCATTTTTGTGACCATTTTTGACTGTGTCGGTCCATTATTCAAGCTGCCGAAGTAAGCTCTGGCTTTGGAAGGGTCTGGAAGCAAAATGAAGTGAAAACAAGCTTCAAACTACGGCAATAACGTAGAGCCAGTACAAAAGACGTATTGCGCACTTAGAAGTAACTTTTTGACGTTAACTCTCCTTAGATCTTTGTAAAACTTTTTAAAAAGAAACCAAAAGCCATAAGCTTCATGTTCTGATTGTTCGTTTACCATCGAAACTCTATAATCTTCATCGACTGTCTCTACAGATGAAGCATGACGGACTGTTTTGCATAGTAATGTCCTACAAGTATTCGGCCTTAGTTTAATTAGTTAAAATATGTCTAGTGTAAAGTAAATCCCATTAAATTGGAGAGGGAAACTGAATGTAAAGAAGCCTGCAGAACAGGCGTCATTTTTTTCACGTTTTTAAGGCGAGTGAAGATATGCTTAGTAGATTTCTGTTAGTCTTAAAGATGTTAGTACTTGATAAAATTAGATAAACTGCCTAGTTCCTAGGCGTCTCAAGTGTGTTTGGAGAACTGAAAACGCGACTGAGGTCTGTATAAAGGACTTTTAAGAAAGTCTAACAAAATGCAAAAAAAAAAAGGAATTTGGCCATATATCCAGTCATATTGCCCACCTTACGCTTGGTCAGTAATGCATATTTGAATGGAATAATAATGAAAATAAAAATAGTCATCACGCCTTAAAATATTCCGCTTTCGTTTTGACAGCCCGTTTCCTTTCGTCATTCCAGCGGAAGCTCAGTGATAAGGACTTGGTTTCTTCGAAATTTGCTGCCTGAGTCAGTAGTTCCGAACGGTAAGAAAATGCAATAAGCCGGCCGTGTTTCTACACGCGGTCAAAAAACCTTTACTTGGTATAAAAATGGCATGTTCAGTTACATGGTAGAATTGAATGATGCAGAGAGCTTCCTTGTCGGTTATTCAAACTATAAGACTGTTCAAAAATTAAAGAACGTCAAACGGAGACTTTCACAGCAAATGGTAATGAATGATACCCTTTTTTTGACTATTTTTGACTGTTTCGGTCCATTATTGGAGCTGCCGAAGTAAGCGCACTTAGAAGTAACTTTTGACGTTAATTCTCTTTAGATCTTTGTTAAAGTTTTCAAAAAGAACTCAAAAGCCATAAGCTTTATGTTCTGATTGTTCCTCTATCATCGAAACTCTATAATCTTCATCGAGAGTCTCTACAGATGAAGCATGACAGCCCATTTTGCACAGTTATGTCCTACAAGTATTCGGTCTTAGTTTAGTTAAAATATGTTTAGTGTAAAGTAAATCCTATTGAATTGGAAAGGGAAACTGAATATAAAGTAGCCTGCATAACAGGCGTCATTTTTCACGTTTTTTAGGCGAGCAAAGATATGTTTAGTAGATTTCTTTTAGTCTTAAAGCTGTCAGTACTCGATAAAAATAGATAAACTGCCTCGTTCCTAGGCGTCTCAAGTGTGTTTGGAGAACGGAAAACGCGACTGCGGGTAATAGTATCGCGTGGTGGACCATGAATGAACGAATGAATGAATGAATAAGAGAATGAATGAATGAATGAATGAATGAATGAATGAATGAATGAGTGAAAGAATGAAGAGTGGTGATTGAGAGAACAACAGACGTGCCATCTTACAATACATTTTAAGATGTGAACAGTGAGTTCGGACGTCAGCATACAAAGGCGCCACTGGCAGCCGCTCTCAGTCCATTTATGAGGTTACTGTATCCACCCAACCTATAATGTGATGTGTAGGTTGACCACAACACCGGGGTCTACGTCCCCTGCTCTTTTCGAACTGAGGTGTGGGTGTAAGTACTGTGAGACGGGACCTACGCACCCACGTCCCCAGGGCTTTTCCCAGCCATTTTTTAAGGGAAAAGCCCTGGGGACGAGGTTGTGGAAAGGGTAAGCGAGAAACTGAGATAAATCAGTGTCTTGGTGGCCTGCATACTCGTAAGATACTAAATAACAGCAGGAAAGCGTAGTGAATCAAAATCACGATAGTTTGGTCATGTTGACCAATATATATATTCATAGGCCTCGACTTCGTCTCGTTAAACAAAATGCTAGACTTGCTACAAATCCACCTCTCATAAGTTCTTAAAAGTGAAGCGAGCTTCAATGCATGAGTTCGCGCAGCGAACAAGCGAACGACCAAGTCTCGTGGCATAACCAACCAGGAAAAAAATAAAGGAAAAAAAAATAAAGGACTTTTAGAAAGTCTAACAAAATGCAAAAACAGGAATTTGGCCATATATCCAGTCATATTGTCCACCTCGCGCTTGGTCAGTAATGCATATTTGAAAGGAATAAAACATTCCGCTTTCGTTTCGACAGCCTGCTTCCCTTCGTCATTCCAGCGGAAGCTAAATAATACCTTATAAAGACTTGGTATCTTCGAAACTTACTGCCTGAGTCAGGAGTTCCAAAAGGTAAGAAAATGCAATAAGAAGGCCGTGTTTCTACACGGGGTCAAAAAACCTTTACTTTGTTTATAAACGGCATGTTTAATTTGCATGGTGGGATTGAATGATGCGGAAAGCTTCCTCGTCGCTTATTCAAACTACGAAATTGTTCAAAAGAGCGTCGACGGGAGACTTTCACAGCAAATGGTAAGGAATGATAGCCTTTTAATGACCCTTTTTGACTGTTTTGGTCCATTATTCGAGCTGCCGAAGTAAGCTATGGTTTTGAAACTGTCTGGAAGCAAAATTGATGTGAAAACACGCTTCGTTCTTCTTCAATAGCGAAAAGCCAGTACAAAAGAACTATTGCGCACTTAGAATTAATTTGTACGAAAATGGCATGTTCAGTTACATGGTGGGAATTGAATGATGCGGAAAGTTTCTTTGTCGATTATTCAAATTATGAAACCGTTCAAAAGAAAGTCGAACGGAGACTTTCACAGCAAATGGTAAGGAATGATAGCCTTTTTGTGACCATTTTTCACCAAAAGCCATAAGCCTTATATTCTGATCGTTCGTTTACGATCGAAACTCTATAATCTTCATCGAGAGTCTATACCGGATGAAGTATGACAGACTGTTTTGCATAGTTATGTCCTCCAGGTATTCGGCCTTAGTTCAGTTACAGTATTTCTAGTGTAAGTAAATCCTATTTAATTGGAAAGGAAAATATAAAGTACCCTGCAGAACAGGCGTCATCTTTTCACCTTTTTGAGGTTAGCGAAGATAAGCGCGAGGCGAGCGCGCTTACCGGAAAAGCGCTTTCATCCGTCGCACGTGTCTCGCGCTCCCGGAAAAGTTATATACTCTGTTTGGGAACCCGTTACCTCGCCCAAGTAAAGTCAAACTATGTTTTATTTTTAAGCCTTTTTTTATCATCATTTAGTAGTATCTGACATTGAATAAGTTTTTAGGCGAAAATACGTTAATTTATAAACTCTTGTGATTCCATTGAAAATTATACCCGTTTTGAGACTTTTATGGGCAAAATCTATACCCGACGCGTTTTCATATGAGACCAAACGGGCTCAAACGCCATACCGTTTGTGGAACACACCTATATAGCCTATAAATAACAATTATTCACCGAAGTGAAATTGGCTAGTGGTGCCCTTTTATCGACGCCGAGAAGCGGCGAGGTAAATAACCACCACTAGCCACCGACACTGAGGTGAATAATTGTTTTAGTAGATACTAAAACAGTGAGATAATTGAGCACAAAAATGATGATTTTTAACTAATTTACTGTTGCGAACGATTACAATTTTGGCGCGCAATGACCGAACGGCCGCGGTCGTCGCTTTTTCTTGCCGACAAATAAAACTTTTGAAGGCATTTGTTTAGCTCTTGCGGGGAAGTTTCTTCAAAAGGAATTGTGAATTCTTTTTGTATTTAAAATCATTCTGTAAAAAGGATTATTAAATTTAGTTTTATGCTTATATATGAACAAGTCAACTGAATAAAGTAACGCAAGAAAAAAACTTTTTCACCGGTTTTATCGATAATTCAAACCAAAAAGACAAAGCTTTACCTGTTAAAACTTCCAAACCGAACTTTGTCACCTTCTTCGTGTATTTCGGGAACAGCTTGCTTATTTGATTAGTTGTGAAATTTCTTTGTTTGTTACGGCAGCAAACCAGGAAGGCATTTTGCTCGCAACTTCCGCGAGTTTCAGGTTGGCGTCGCTCGCTCGGAGGAACTGGAGGTGAATCAGTGAATAGTGCAGCATATTCATTAGTAGAGTAGCCAATCAGAGCGCGCGAAAAACACAATCCACTGTTTTGGTATATACTAACGGGTTTACCCCCGGGTATGTTGTCACTAATTGCAAAGATCATTTTCCCAAGGGTTCATAGTAATTCATCAGACGTACATCAAGTATGGCATCTTCACAAGAATACACCGATGAACAGCTGAACTATTACAGAATTTGTTATCTAACTACTGATCTACTAGCGCAGGGTCTGAGAGAAATATTTAAACAAGAATGGGACAAACTGTACAAAACAACAAAAGGAGAATGGAAAGACGAGCCTCGTAATGGAATGGACTTTTATAAAGGAGAGTCTTCTCGAAATAAAAAAAAAAACGCTCATCTTTTGGCAACTATGAAAAACGGAAACAGAGGGGAATGGGATTGTACAATGCTGTTTTACGCTATCCTTTTCTCTGATTGCGTCGGGCCACGTCTTAGCGCAATAGTCAGTAAGAATGTGGATGATCTAAGAAAGTTCAGGAACAAAGAATTCGCTCACATGTCACAAGGTAGTCTCTCTGAGATAGATTTTCACAATGCTATAAGCAAAGTTGATGTTGCTTTTCAAGCGCTTAGTCTTCCCACTGTAACTATTCAAGACCTAAAATATCAGAAAACGTTTCAAACAAAAGTTTTAACAAAGGTCCTCTCAGAAGTTGATAATCTAAAACAAGAAGTTCAAGAAAAAGAGAGTCAGCGCCAGGTCCTTGCAAATCAGCTCCAAAACGAAGCACCCTCATTCTGTGTTCTCCCTCCTAAACCTTCGCATGAAATCGGTGGTCGTGAAAGGGAAGTAGCCAAAATAGTCCAACAGCTGAGGGACCTAAATGAGTCCAGTGACAACAGGTTGACTTATCTATACATCTCAGGGAATCCTGGAAGCGGCAAATCACAGCTAGCTGGCCTTGTAGCTGAGAGGTTCTTTGACGACCGCAAAGAAATGCCAGGTGGGCCTTCATTTGTAATGACCTTAAATGCTGCAAGTCTAGATTCACTTCTGGAGTCGTATGCCTCATTTGCTCGCCATTTAAAGTGCCCAGATTATTCAATTGTGGAAACCCTCAGCTCAAAGGACTCGACTGTCGACGAAAAGATCAATAGTCTTAAGATGCTTGTCGCTGTAAAAATTACCTGTTACACGTCGTGGCTACTGGTGGCTGACAATGTTACTACCATGTCATCTGTGCATGTCCATTTACCACAGTTTAATTCAAAGGTTTGGGAAAGAGGCCATTTGCTTATTACGACGCAGGACACAGCGTCAATTCCCTCAAAAAGCTCTTTCGTTAATCACATTTCAGTAAGCGAAGGTATGGAGCCCGATGATGCCCATTCATTATTGTCCAAGCTTTCTGGTATCCCAGATAGCGAGCTGGTAGGAACAGTAGCACAAAGACTGGATTACCAACCTCTTGCTTTAGCAGGCGCTGCCGTCTTTGTTAAAGAGATTCGGCAGGACAAAGCATCAACGCATTTTGGGTGGGAGGAATACCTAAAGATCTTAGAAAAAGGCAAAATACAGAAAACGGAGGATGCACTTGTTGGCACCAATCCAATTTACCCAAATTCAATGACCAAAGCAATAGCTTTAGCCGTCGAAAAACTGATGGGATCCGACAAATTTCAAAAACACCTTTTCACTTTTCTTGCCCTCTGCGCTCCACGGCCATTGAAAGTCGACATAGCACTTACTTATATCATGAACGCACATGAAGAGTCTGATGAAGCGGACAAAGAATTAATTCGCATGAGATTAAGAAGAAGCTCACTTCTGCTGATGCAAGATGAAGAGGGTGGCTGTTTTATTCGACTTCACCAGGTTGTGCATGATGCTATAAAAACTGTAGCAAAAGAGTGTGCAGAAATCCAAATCGATGAGGTCGTTAGTGGGGTCATTACATCATTTAACGAATTCATCGTCGCAACTCCACCAGATAATGAGCGACTAAACACCAGACACATCGCTCCACATTTGAAAGTTTTAACTATAGTAACTGACAAAGTGTTTTTGCGAGATAATTTCTTTCAAGTTCATGATAAGGAGATTTCCGGAAAATGCGAAAACCTTGGAAGTATTTGTGAAATGCACTGTGAATTCGAAGGAGCAAAAACATATTTTGAATATTCACTCAAATTTAAGCTTCAAGATCTCGGCCCAGAGCATGTTGATGTTGCAACAAACTACTTTAACTTAGCTTCAATTTACAAGAAATTAGGTGACTTTGAGCAAGCCAAGGAGTATCAGGAACGTGCTCTGGACATCCAAATGAACAAGCTCGGCCCGGAACATGTTAATGTTGCAAGAAGCTATAATAACTTAGCCTCGATTTACAAGCATTTAGGTGACTTTGAGCAAGCCAAGGAGTATCAGCAGCATGCTCTGAACATTGAGCTGGACAAGCTCGGCCCGGAAGATGTTCATGTTGCAACAAGCTATAATAACTTAGCTTTGATTTACCAGTATTTAGGTGACTTTGAGCAAGCCAAGGGGTATCAGACACATGCTCTGAACATTGTACTGAACAAGCTCGGCCCGGAACATGTTAATGTTGCAACAAGTTATAATAACTTAGCTTTGATTTACCAGCATTTAGGTGACTTTGAGCAAGCCAAGGAGTATCAGACACATGCTCTGAACATTGTACTGGACAAGCTCGGGCCGGAACATGTTAATGTTGCAAGAAGCTATAATAACTTAGCTTTGATTTACAAGGATTTAGGTGACTTTGAGCAAGCCAAGGAGTATCAGCAACGTGCTCTAGACATCGAACTGGACAAGCTCGGCCCGGAACATGTTAATGTTGCAAGAAGCTATAATAACTTAGCTTTGATTTACAAGGATTTAGGTGACTTTGAGCAAGCCAAGGAGTATCAGCAACGCGCTCTGGACATTGAACTGGACAAGCTCGGACCGGAACATATTAATGTCGCAAGAAGCTATAATAACTTAGCTTCGATTTGCCAGGATTTAGGTGACCTCGAGCAAGCCAAGGAGTATCAGCAACGTGCTCTGGCCATTACAGCAGACAAGCACCGGCTCAACAAAACACCAAATAAGGTACATGAAGGACTGCTAACAGACGCAAAAAACTTTATTATGGAAATTATATTTCTTCTAGATAGATTTTACGCAGTCTATAAGGTTTATCTCATTGGTGTTGTGTTAAAATTTGAAAGGCTGAATTTTTCAGGTTTTTTTTTCACAACAGCATAAGTTGTATCTTAAACTGCGAGGATCGTCTTTGCATTTTTTCTTCCGCAGTTCCAATATATGAAATTCACATAATCTTTGTAAATGATTTTAATTTGATAAACTCCAGAACGTTTTACATATATGAATTATGGAATCGATATTTGGGACGCTGGTAAGACATCTTATGACTGTAACAGTTTCCGTTTACGCTCTACTCCTGCTTTCCTTATCTTCAAGTTTCTTCTAATGTTAGTCCTTGCAGATTACTCATGAAGATGAAAGGCATTTATTACAATCCAAGAAAGAAGATGATGACGATGAGGATGATGATAAAGGCAGTAGTAAGGAAGGTAAAGCAAAAATCATTGTTAAGTTAAAAATGTCCCGTCCTGCTAACCTTTAATGATTTTAATCAAGGGTACGTTCCTTTAGAAAAACTCCGATAAGGTTTAATCGTTGCACAATCTCACAGCCTTTAGAATTGACGCGACAAAGGGAACGTGAGTAAAAACCCGGAGATGGATTATTCAGCGTTCCAAAAATATTTTTGTGAAACGCCTACAATAACGTAGAATTCTCGACAGGTGTAATTGTTTTGGACCCATGCCCAAACAAACTCATTAATTGTGAATCTATAAATGCGGATTTAGATTTAATCTATCACCAAATCTATTGGGAGTGTGTTTTTAGTTTTAGTTAAAAAAGGCAAAATCCGCGTTTGGATGATTGTCTCAAAGAAAAGTGCCCTAAGTCAAAAGTCAGCTACACCCAAAAGAAATTTTTAGGCAAACACAATTTCTGATTTGGGGTTGCTTATTCAAACAATAAGATGGAGATAGAGGTGAACACCGCCATTTTTTAAAGCTATTTTCAATTTTTCTAACCCAAGATCCAAACATTGATTGCCTCTTATGGTATCAAGGAGGCAAACCGAGTAGAAAAGCATTTAATTACTTTAAATAAACGAGTTCAAAGCAAATTAGAGGGTTCCACTGATTCGAGATACAAAACATTAGGTGAGGTTACACTAGATCTTTCCCCCAAAGCTCCCATTGGGGAAATAGCTTGGGTTGGGTTCACACTGGTTAATTGATCACTGTCATGGCATTTTTCTTTAAGAAAGACAAATTCTCGCTCAGAAGTCAAAAGTACGGGTTTACAAAAGTGTTTGCAACGACTTCACAAGGAAATAGTTCTTGAACACATGCAAAGAAAACTTAAGAGTGTTTTGAGTTGCTTTTAAATTTATTTAAAAGTGTAAAATACAGAAAAACATTCACAGCAGCGCTCAAAATCCTGCTGAGATTTGGCAGTCCAGTTTGGCGCTGGATTTGGCGCCAAGACGAACTCAGCACTTAAACAACACGTGATTTCTACTTTTCGGTACGTTTCAATCTCTCGTGATTGGTTGAGCCGCCTTAGGTTCTTACTAGCCAATAGAACTTACTTCGGGAACTGTAATGGGTAATTCTTTAAGAAAAAACTGAAGATTAAATTATTGAGTAAGTATGAAAACAGTTCATAAACCTTTCCATCTTCGACTTTTCGCCTTCTTTTCTTCAATGGATGTTAAACAGCTCTAGCTCATAGTTCGAGGAGGCCTAACCTCTCATAAACTCCTATAGTTTCTGTTAGGTCTCCTCGCCACTTCTTTTTTTCTTCTTTTCCTATATTTTTTGTAATTATTGTGTGGCAAATAAAATAAAAATAAAAAAAAACAAATAAAAATCCATGGAAATTTCCCCGAGGCACTGAATTTCACCTTGGGAAAATCGGTCACACAAAAAGCCGCTTCCCCGTGGGCAACAGCCATTTGCCGGTGGGTAAAATGGGTAATTTGGCAGCACCTATTTTAGGTCGCATAAAACTGATATGTTACGGTCAACGTTTGACTTTCCTCGTATCTTGTGCATTATAAGCTTAATTACTTTTTTCTTTTACAGACAAAAGAGCTAAGAGAGACAAGCACAATGCTGGACAAATGGCTAAGAAAGGTTCAGATGCTGATGGTGATGTGTCATCTGAGGGAGATGGTTACCTGGATTCACAGGAAGAGGATCACAGATCTGACAGCTTTTCATCTTTGGATGGTGAAATATTTTGATCCTTTGATCCCCGATATCTGTCTTTGTCTGCTGCTGTTGCTGTGATCTAGCCTGTTTTTAACCACCACTGCCCTGAAACATTATGGAGCTTAAGCAAAGACGTTTTTGAGCAACACACGTCAACCGGAAGTAAAGCCTTTTCCCTTTTAATACGCCTTGATGCTTATAACAAATTTGTATTGCTAAGTTTCTTTATTCTTATAGACACGATCTGCCCGAAAATGTGGGCTCAACCACTACCCATGAACGGCAAAAAGTTCACTTCCGGTTGATGTACGTCGCTCAAAAACGCCTTTGCTTAAGCTCCCTAATTTGTTTAAAGGGAGTGGTTAGCTATAGACAGGCTAATGTGCCCCAGTTGCATCACCCTTCCTGTCGTTTTTTCTGCCTGTACTGTGCTTCTTCAGTTCTCTCTTTGCCTCTCCGCTACTTTCTTTGCGCTTGCTTTCATCCCTGTATCACCATCATGTGTAACTGCTGTAGTTACATCAGCCGAACAAGAAGCGGGAAATATTAAAGATAAGTAACGTCTGTTATAAAAGATACTACTGTATAATGGGTAATCATCTGCTGCAACTGCTCCAAAGATATGGAACGTCTTACTGGACTGTATTAGGAAAGGGAAGAATTTCGATAAGTTTAAGAAACTTCTTAGTACTACTATTTTCGAGAAGCGTACAGCGAGGGTTCTTTTATTTTCTACTCTTATTTCCTTTTTTTCTCTCTTGCTCGGTTTTGAAAATGCTAAATTATTGATGTAGCAATTGAAAGTGTAAATAATTTCAGTTAACACAGTAGGTAGTATGACTTCTGTTCTATGTAGGTTTTATTTTTGTGTATGCGCATTTATATTTGATCATATACCTATTTTAAAATGCGCTATAGAGGTATCAAATATTATTATTATTATTATTATTATTGTTATTATGATTACTTGACTGTGTAATATGGTCTTGAATTGTTCACTTGTTTGCTCTATATGGGAGTATGTCACTGCTTTCTTTGCAAGGTTACAATTCACCACAATACTTCTTTAATGCTCTGATCATTATCATCATCATCATCAACAACAACATCATCGTCATTATTTTTGTTATTATTATCTTCATCATAAAGACCTGTATTGCATTGTCTGGCTCATTATTTCTTTTTTCATGAAAGAATGTCCTTAAAGATATAATTCCATGTATGGAGAAAATTCATTGCAGCTGACACTTCGCTCCTTGTTTTTATTTATCTTGTTGTCCTGTCGAGGACATAAGACAAATTCCTGACCTTAATCTTTAAGTAAAAGAAAAGAGGTGACATAAAGCATTTATTTTCCAGTTATACGACAACAACAATAGTGCTATCGTAATACTGAAACGGTTTTCTCGATGTTTTCGCATAGCAGAAGATACAACAACTTTGAAACTTGAAGATGACCTCAATGCAGAAGAGACATCAAGTGAAGATGAGGATGAATTACCAGAAGAAGCACGTGGGCTAAAAGACTTGTGGGAACGAGATGAAGAAAAGGAGGCCTGGGACGAGGACGAGGACGAGAATGAGGACGAGCACGAGCAAGAGGGTGTCGACGACGACGATGACGACGACAAGGATGACGACGCAAACGAGGACGCGCATGAGGGCGACGAGGACCGGGATGAAATGAAAAGAACGTCAGCATTGCTTTTACAAGGTTAGAAATCATGGCAGCTTTGTAAAACTTATAAGATATGGAGTATCGTAGGTGAAATCCAAGCATCTAGCACTGGTTAGCTATACACAGGCTACTGTGCCCCAGTTGCATCACCTTGCCTGTCGTTTTTTCTGCCTCTACTGTGCTTCTTCAGTTCTCTTTTTGCCTTCTCTTCTTTTCTTCCCCTTGCTTTATTCTCTTCTCTTCTTCCCGTTAACTTTTTTATCCCTGCGTCACCATCATGTGTAACAGCTTAAGTTAAATTAGCCAAATGAGAAGCTGGAAATATTAAACTTAAGTAACATCTGCTATAAAGGATATTTAACAATTAATGAATGAGGCTGAGTATCTTATAAACAATTATGGAGATCGAGGAGGGTGTTATCCGTCGAGGCCTTAGGCCGAGGCGGATAACACCCTCCGAGATCTCCATAATTCTTCATATGATACGAAAGCCGAATTAAATCATTGTTTTATTATTCATTCAAAATAATTCCTAGTTTAAAAACATAGCTAAAACAAGCTTACCTGCATCGATGTTAAGTTTATCTTCGATAGTTTAGGTTTGTCCAGCTCCGCAAATGTTCTCCAAATAGCAGATGTCGCCCTTCGAGTTGTCATCTTGCTGTTTTTGCTATGCTTTTAGCCGTTATTTCGCCTAGTTTCAGCTGTAGTTCTTACTCTTGAAACGAGTGAAGTATCCGCCATTTTAGTTTTCACAACGAAAACAACTCAATCTCGTTCCCAGGTCTTCTCGGTTAACGGTCCATTAACCTATAGAAGGCTGCATTTTTGACGTCATTTCCTCGTTAAACACAAAATTCTTCCAAATTTGGCCATCAGCAACTGGTTATGGTAAATTATGCGTGTGCTTTTAGCCAATCAGAATTGGGGAAATATTGTGAATGAACAGGAGCCCATCAAATTTGATGGGCTCCTGGAATGAATTATAGTACCTTATAATGGGCCTCTAATCATTTACTGCAGCTGCTCCAAAGATATGGAACGTCTTACCGGGCAACATTAAGAAAGGGAAGAATGTCGATAAGTTGTAGAAAAGCGTACAGCGACTAGGTTGAGTTATCAAAGGTTCTTTCACTTTCAACTTTTATTTCCTTTTTTTCTTTATCTTTTGCTCGTTTTTAGTAATGCTAAATTATTGATGTAGCAATTGAAAGTGTCAATAATTTCAGTTATTAGAGCGGGTAGCATAATATAGGCTATGTGAGTCTCATTTTTGTGTATGTACATTTCATCAGATCACTATGTTAAAATGCGCTGTAGAAGTATTAATTATTATTATTATTATTGTTATTACTTGAGTAATGAGATCTCGGATTGTTCACTTAAATGTATGCTCTATATGGGAGTATGTCACTGCTTTCTTTGCAAGGTTACAATTCACCACAATACTTCTTTGATGCTCTTATCATTATCATCATCATCATCATCATCATCATCATCGTTATCATCAGCATCATCATCATTTTTTGATTTATTCGCATCATTATTCTCATCAGTAATATCATAATCATTTGATAAGGATCAGGGGAATACTACATGTTGAACCAAAATGTACGTTTCTGAGTAAAACCTCAATTTTCTAAATTGGGTCACTTGACACTGACCGTGCCCTGTTGATGTCACAGCCACAATTGGCATCAAACTGTCCAAATTTTGTCACATATAAGTGCGCGCATTTTTTAAAATTACAGATCGAACACTTTTCCCTAGCACCTGCTTCAAAATTAAAGACGCAATAATAAACTCCCTTAAACCAACATTATAAAGACAATTATGATCTCTTGCTTGAACCTATTCTCTTTCTTTTCTTTCCTTAAATCCTAGCTTAAAGTTGAAAATATAAATAAGGCAAGTGCTTCGCTTGCCCCTTAACGGATCACTACGCCCTCAGCGGTGCTAAGCGCGTTATGAGATACAAGGGCAACAAATGTTGGGTAGTTTTGGCTTCTATGTGATGCATTTTTTGTTTTTTTGTTAAGGTGCAAAGAAGAGAAAGAAGAAGTCGGGAAGTGGCTGTCGACTTTGTAGATGTCAATAATAAATATCCACATTCATTTTTGTAGAGTTAATTGGAGCTTAGATCTGCATGCTGATCATTTCTGGATTCGAAGATAAGCAACCAGAGACTTGCTTTCTATCATTTAGTAAGAATATTTTTAAGGTAGCACATGCAAAATCCACTTTGTAGTAACCACCAGGATATGATAAACAAACAGAAAAAGATTTCCCTTCCACATTGACAATTGCTGGATACGTCAAATTGTCAAACCTTTCTTGTGAATTGCCAAACTGGATTTTTAACAGCACGTAAATGATGGAAAAGAATAATGTTTCCATGTAAATAATGCATGGGTCTATTTAGGGGTGGTCTGAGGAGATCGCACGCTCCTTTTTTCTGTGAAATTTTGCAATTTTTTCTCGAAGAATCTCAGTAATATATAGCTTGCAAGTGTCCAGCAGATTCCCCCCCTCCCCACTTTCTGAATTTTCTATACCCCCTTGTAACGTTTTAAGCTTTCAGTTTTTGTTAGTATATTGTTGAAGTTGTTCATTTAAAAGTCCATTTGCTTAATAGATTTACTAATAAGATTGTAAACTTAAGACCACACAATTTTCAACGTCATGGAGGTCTTACAGGTCCGCAAGGGACTGCCCACTATAATGTTGTGAAGAATTTTCTAGGTTGTTATGAAGATTTTTGTCATGTGGTATTATTTACTTAGCTGATTTTATGTTTGCACTTGAAGATTCACTCGTGCCTAGCAAGAGTCTCGTTACAATTATGTTTGTATATCAGGGTTAATCCGTAATTGTATAGACAGGTTTTGGAATTTTATTATCTTATTCGTTTTTTTTTGTAACATAACAGTGTCATTTAATAAATTTGAGTGTGAGTCCTTGAAGTGAGCACGTTTTATAGCTGACTATCAGTTTGTTACCTAAATCAGAGTTTCTGTTTTGGTTTAAGTTAGAGCCTCTTGGGTTTAGTTTTTAGAAAGTGCGTTCATGACCCTCATGGTCAGCAAGAAAAAAAAATGCACTTTATTTGAGTGTCAATGTATTTAGCACTAAAGTACATATTGGGGACATTAATTTTATTTCTCCAACTGGAGACTATGCTCGGATACCCAGGGGCGGTCAGCTGAGTCGGAAAAAAGGGCCGTGGCCAATAATAACGGTGGCCAATAATAGACCCTATCTTAGTCACTTTTGGGCAAATGTAATTTTCTCGATCCCACCATAGTTAAGGCGATGTTACACGGAACGATTCGCAACGACGATTTTTAGCGCAACACAGCATTACAACATTGTTGCGACATTATTTTGAATGATTGCAACCTGATTGTTCCAACATTGCTACGCTGTGTTGCGCTAAAAATCGTCGTTGCGAATCGTTCCGTGTAACATTACCTTTACTTTCTATTTATGTATCTACAGTACTTTATAATGAATGAAGAATACTTCTTTTTTCACCTACGGTACAAACATTCTGGTATGTTTGCTAACCGTAAATGCGAAGAACTTTTTTTAACCCAAAAATCTGAAAATGTGCGACCCCATTCTAGTAACTCCATTGAAAATGCGACCCCGTTGTAGTCAATCCAGACGTGAAAATGCAACCCCATCCAGCGGTGCATCCCCATTAGCCTCTTATAAGGAAGTACCTCCCCCGGGAATGACTTATACCCGTGACTGAACATAAGATAGTTAAGGACCGAGAAAGTACACTTCTGTCATTAGATGCCCTGTTATAATAAAAATACTTTTCTGTTCTGAAAGTGGAACACCTGCTTCCTTTTCCTCTCGCGCCCTGCCATCCCTCCGTTTTCTCGTCGCCATATTGGAAAACGAAACAAACCTGTCGGGGAACTGTCTGGGGACAAACCTAGAATCCCTGGAATCCCTAAATAACATCTACCCCATGCAGGCCTTTCCACAGTGTTGTTTGGAAAGGAAAAAACAATTAACTCATTAGAATTCTCCACCGGCTAAAATTGGCTCCCCCTTTTTAATAGTAAATTCAACAGGGTTTCCAAAAAAGCTGGCACAATCCCAGAGGGAGATTACTTGTGAAATGATTGTTTTCAAGACAACAAAATATGCCAGGAAGAAAAACACTGTTTACTACAAATTTACTTCCGAATACAAAGTTAAGGTGTCAAAACATTCGCTTTCTTCCAGGTATTTAAAGGTTTCAAATAATTCTATCTACAAAATGGCCTCCCACCATTGTTAAATTCAATAGGCGGTCAGAGATAACAGGTATAAAATGAAGTCAGGTTGCATGCAGTTATTGATATTTCTTGTCATCTAAAACTTAAATGGAAGATTATACAAAAACAAAAAGGAAAAGTTGTAAAAAAGCTTGAGTGTCGTGTTCTGATGTATGCTATCTAAGCGTTTCTAGTTTCCACTTCCTCTCTTAAAGTTGTGTAATCCAAATCACCCTCATCGTTTGCTTGGAATTCCAGTGATAAACCAGTGAAGGACTTTTTGATGGTGTCTTTTGAAGATGCGTATATCATTTTGTCTCCAATCTTTGCATTTTCGTCACACCTAAAACAAAAGCGGGAGATAAGATGAGCCAGCCGAGTTAACCGGGTGGCTTGGCCTCGCTTGCCGAGATCTTGGTTCCTCGAAGGAAGATCTCAGCAAGTGGGTCAGCCGGTCTTTTTTCTTATAAACTCAACAACGCTGAACCAGCTGAACCAGCCCGGTAAAGCAGGCCAGTCTTGCTAACCAAGCTGGCTCACCTCATGTGAACAGTCTCTAAGTAGAAATGAGAACCAGGCAATAAGGGTGTACTTTATCACACAAACTAAACCTAAAGACCTTTTTTATTAGCCTGTTCCAGGCTCCGAGATAGTCGGATCAGCGAAGTGGAGAAAGCGCAAACACGAAAATAAACTGACGGGAGGAGACTGGAGAGAGGAAGGGCGGCACCGCCTTCTTTTCCCAGCTCGAGTGCTTATATTTTCGCGTGCCTTTAATACACTTCCCTACTATCTGAGAGCATGGAACACGCTACCTTTTTATTCAATAATCTCTTGATGAGTGCACTTTGATTAATAATACATCAATTCAGGGAGCAAGGGAGGCGCCGTTGAGAGAGCATTCACCTTCCACCAAAATAGGAAATTTGCAACGACGCGTACCGAGTTTATGAAACGAGTTTAAGGATCTGTGAAAAGGCCACGATAAAAGTAAGTTTCAAGCGCTTTTATCAACAGTAAGAAGTCCCATATAGCGTGTTGTTGACTTCAATCAATCGAAATAAGGTATCATTAATTAAGGTACTAAATCACTACTTTTACGTCTCTCTGGTAGATGTGAAAAACGAAGAAGACCATATACTCCACTCGCGCGCCTTTCGCGCTTCTCGAGCGCCCGGAATTCCCTTCCCATTTCCTTTCAAACGCCTGACATGCAGGCTACAGATTCTTTTGCACTTATAACTTCTCTTACGACTCAAATAGAGTCTTTGATTTTTACCAGGTTAATGAAATAAAATGTTCTTACAACTTTGACTCTGTCGAGCTACATGCATTAAAATCCAGCCTAAAATGTCTTGAAACTAAAGGAAAATTTTATGCTCGGTCACCAATTAATAAAAATACAAAGACAGGCTCGTGACTCACCAAAAGATGAATGCCAACTTATTAACTTTCCTGCCATCCTTCTTCATAAATCCAAAATCATACAAGATATATCGTGGTTCATTGCTGAGTTGCTCCTTCATTCGATTAAACTGTGCTTCATCTTCTTCTTTTGTTTCTGTTTTGCATGGATCACCACACACGTCAGCAACAATTTTCTTCTTTCCTTCAATTTTAAAGAATGCAAACTTGTGTTTGCTTCTCATCTTCATGTCATTAAACAAACCGTTGATTTTAGCATCGACTTGGACCCCTGACATAGACTGGATCAAGAGAAAATAAAAATAAAATTAATAACCTAAGAAAATTCTTATCAAGGTATCAGAACTGCTATATAAAGGAAATACAAATTTCAAAAATGAAGCATTTTTGTTCAATAGAAGTGGAGAAAATGAAGACCAAAGTTGATATCTGTGAGAGCTATTTTTAAAATATAATTTATTACATTACGAGTTTCAATTAAGCAAGGGGAGATTAAAGCAAAATTTGCTTACATTCTGCTTCCTCAAATGAAGAACAATTGTTTTGATAATTCCTAATCACTCTCATGCCTGAAAAAAGCCTGGCCGAGGGTGTGTTTAGTGTACAACGACCTCAATTTTTGACTAAAATAGAACTGCTATTCTGTCGGGCATATTAAAAATTAAGAGTTAACAACGGCCACCTACCAGTTTATCAAAATACTGTAACTACTTACCATTGTGATTGTTGGTCGTGACTTTAGTTTTCAAAAGACCTTGAAAGCAAAATAGTTAAAAATTAGTTGGGGTCAACCAAATTAATCTGCATATCTGAGATGTTTAAAATCAACTTTGTGGAGAAAACGTGTACATCGATAGCACTACATAGTGAAGAATCTTTAACTACTTAATCTGTTGTAGCAACTTGATCAAGAACTTGAGCTTTCGTTCGTGATAAATGTATGGACTCCAAAAACTAACTTAAAACAAGTCTTAGTTTCGCGCCTTACCGGTATCTTTCTTCTTGACAGCTAACTCTTCCAACTCTATGGCTTGATAACAACTTTGCTGCAGTTTCGTATATATTTGTTCCCAGTGTGATGTAACATTCTATATTTATAATTATCCAGTTGCTGTAGACTGTGGGTTTTCTTCGACATCATTTACTTCAAAGCGAGCTCAGTACATCCTTTTAAGGAAAAGACAGTTTGAAAAATAATGGAAATTACGCAATGATATGAATTTGCATAAAACTGAATTATTAACAGTTGATTTGCGTTTGTTTTATTAGCATAGATATGGAACTAAAGATACACTAAACCCCTGTCTAGCAGAAATAATAATCAATATTCCTTTTTTACCAAAGATAACCCGAAAAACTAATGAAAGAAAATGTTGAAATTTACAGGCTTATACTGACTAGCAACTCGTTCATATAATTATAAACGTTTGAAGTACACGAGTAGATTGCGCGCATAAGGTTTATAATGTCCTTATATGGCGTATTTGACAAATTAGATTTTTTTAAATAATAATGACATTAGATAACGTTTTCTTGGTAACGTCATAGTCTATGAAATCGACATGCACTTTTTCACAGTGTTAAATCTGAGAAATTTAATACCTATATACTGGATACAATTGACGATATTGCTACGTCATGTTAGCAATCGGTTTGCCTGATTAAATGTGTTAGTAGCTGCTCTCTAGTATTCGAGGTTAAAGTACAAGATCCAGCTACTTTGGAAGAATCAAAGTAAGTGAACTGCATGTCCAAACATTTTCCACAGCCTCGCACAATTTATTCCCGTAATTATAATATTAGACTGTAAACATTCTGAAAAATGTTATAATCGCTGATTGTTTTAGTAAAGTGAGTTTTATAGAGCTTTGTCTAATTTTCTACTTAAGTGTTTATCCCATAGCTTGTAAAAATGATGTCATAGTTCTTATGCAACGTAAAAACAAGCTTTTAGTAGATCCAATCTTCGAGACAAAACGTCGAGTTGCATTGCGTGGGTTATTGTACGCTCCCAACGATAAATTACGTCCCACTGTGTACATTACCAAAGTAGGAAATAAACGATGTTGGCGCCCGTATGTCACGTCATGCTAAAGGGAAGCTTGTCGCTTTCCACTTGTATGCTGACAAAATAAAAACGTACATTAAAAATCATACAAAGATAAGGAAACCCTGTATTCCGTTAAGAGGGATTCTACGAAAAACGTTGCGATTTTCACTTACGTGAAATCCAATTTTTGCGTGGTGTCATCATCGTACTGTACTGTAAAAAAAACCTTTATACACTTCATAAAGCACACTCTCTTGTTTCTGAAGTTTTGATTTTTAGTAATTTCGTGGATTTTCCAAAGAACACTTTAAAAAGATGAATTGAATGTAGGTGAAGCTCGACTCTGTAGCTATAGCGTGACTCTTTGAAAGAAATTGCGTGATCGCGTGATCCTGCGCTGTAGTAACAGGAGCATGGGGCGAGGTAACTTTGATCGATGATACGAGACGGTTTTAAATAGAAGTGGACTATCGGGGCTTGCGCTTCTGTTCAAGAGAGAAATGGGGATTTTTATACCCTGTTCCCAAGCAAGAGAGGCTGAAGGGAACACATATGTGTTTACACTGTGTTTTCTTGGTATGCTTCTGCTGATGTCTTAGTTACTTTTCAAACGTGATCTAGCTATGCTCAGACAGGAAACGTTGTAGATCTCCCTAATTTGGGCAGGAAGTTTTTACATCACTGAAAAATACACGTACACAAGAGAGGTCCAGCGAATAAATAAATAAGTAATAAATTGGTATGGAGAAATAATCATATAAATAAATTATATATCGGTTTATTCTCGCTTGCTGCTCACATACAATGGAAGTTCTCCTTGCAACCACTCTCGTAAGCGACCAGCTCTGGCGATCCGGGCCAGCAACTGGACAGCGGGTAAACGTACTGCTCACGTGCACTGCTTTCAATCTTTCTGTATACATGGCGGCTTCGAGCTGCCTCGATTCATGTAATACCTGGATTAAAGTTACCTCTGTAAAGCAAGTCAGTCCTGAAATCTGGAGCTATAATTAGAATGAAGCCCGATCAGACCGTTTTCACCGAGAATAAAATCAATTGAATGGAGATGATTAGAATTTCTCTAACTCCTTCGGTTGTAGTGGAAGTCGAAGAGCAAAAAATGAGCTTGCTCTCTTCTGTCCTGTACTGTATTTCGCACCCTTCTTTTCTCTTCACTTACAAAAACTTACACGCTGCTCGCTTAGCTTCATCTGAATCCACGAACTGAAACCTAAAAACCACCTTAAGAGCTAAGTACTGGTATGTAAACGCACAGACTCGATGTTGAGCCGTGTTTTTGCCAACAGCGCGGGCTCTCATTGGTTACCTCGAGGTCACATGACTTCTAAAAGTGAAACTGTTTCCCGCCAAAATCTTTTAGCTTGCAACCTCGTGAAATCTATAACGTCAGAGAGTATTGGCCACCCTGGGTGCCAGGGGCTTTTCATGCGCGGTTTTTGGTGTCAAGCCTTTACAGCCGTGGCGTCGGCCCGTGACCGACGAACCATTTCGCGGCAAACGCCGCACGCAGAAAAAACCTCTGATTCCCAAGGTACAAAATGGCCTATTCCAAGCAAGGATAAGTCTACCTGCAAAATGTCCTTCGAACGAAGAGGACTCCTCCCTTGGAGGTTACTTAACCAAGGAACGGGGAGTTGGAAAGGAAAAATGGGACCCTACAGTGTAGCTAGCCCTACAATACATACCCTTTCTCTGTTTTCATCCGATTTTCAATTGTCGTTCCCCCTTGCTTGCTCCTCTTTCCCCTTTCCCCGAAGTAAAGGGACACACCTCTTCGGTGCCAAGCCCCTTGAAGAAATTGTTTCGTTTTAGAACTATCCTTCTGCTCTAAATAAGGTTGGCAAACCTTCATTCCAGAACTCAAAACATCATCTCAGACAAAAATTGTCGAAGTTTAATCTTGTCTTGACACAAAAATGTTGGCAAAGGCCGTAAAGACTTACTAGCTCGCTTTGGACTAACCACCTTCTTCACAGAAAGTCACTATTAATCATTCAGTGATTTTTCAGCTCAGAGGTCTTGAAAGGTCCTGAATGGTTTACTGGAGCATATAATACGCGAGTGTTCATAAGTCAAGAAATACTTACAACTACCCTGCAAACAGTGGTTTCCCAGTCCGGACGCTACGGTACGAAGCGTTACTCTCCCTTCGTAGCGTAGCGTCCAAACTGCAGAAACCACTGCTCACAGGGTAACAAACAACCTGTTCAGTTTGTATTTATCTCAATTTTAGATGGTATGTTTGTGAGGAAACCGGTCGATTTGATACAGAGTCGTTTCAATTCGCCCCCTAAGCAATGAAATTGCACAAAAAATTTGATCTCTTCAAGTATACTGAGTTTGCACGTGGACAAGAAAGCATTTGAGGTGAGCATTCTTCGTTCATTAAGCCAAGCACGTGAAACTATTCACACTTCGACCAAGTAAATATGTATCGAAACGACCTGTCACTATTTGTGAAATGATTGTTTTCACTGAAGACAACAAAATATGCCAGGAAGAAAAACACTGTTTACTACAAATTTACTTCCCGTGAATACAAAGTTAAGGTGTCACAACATTCGCTTCCTTCCAGGTATTTAAAGGTTTTAAATAATTCTATCTACAAAATGGCCTCCCACCATTGTTAAATTCAATAGGCGGTCAGAGATAACAGGTATAAAATGAAGGCAGATTGCATGCAGTTATTGATATTTCTTGCCATCTAAAACTTAAATGGAAGATTATACAAAAAGGAAAAGTTGTAAAAAAGCTTGAGTGTCGTGTTCTGATGTATGCTATCTAAGCGTTTCTAGTTTCCACTTCCTCTCTTAAAGTTGTGTAATCCAAGTCACCCCCATCGTTTGCTTGGAATTCCAGTGATAAACCAGTGAAGCACTTTTTGATGGTGTCTTTTGAAGATGCGTATATCATTTTGTCTCCAATCTTTGCATTTTCGTCACACCTGAAACAAAAGAGGGAGATGAGATGAGCCAGCTCAGTTAACCGGGCTGACTCGGCCCCGCTTGTCGAGATCTTGGTTCCTCGAAGGAACAAAACAAAACAAGGTACGAGCTGAACCAGCCCGGTAAAGCAGGCCAGTCTTGCTAACCAAGCTGGTTCACCTCATGTGAACAGTCTCTAAGTAGAAATGAGAACCAGGCAATAAAGGTGTACTTTATCACGCAAACTAAACCTAAAGACCGTTTTTGTCAGCCCGTTCAAGGCTCCGAGATAGTCGGGTCAGCGAAATGGAGAAAGCGCAAACAAAAAAATAAACTGACGGGAGGAGACTTGGGAGAGGAAGGGCGGGGCCGCCCATTTTTCCCAGATCGCGCGTTTATATTTTCGCGTGCCTTACATTTACGCGTCATCCGTACTATCTGAGAGCATGGAACTGGCTACTTTTTTTTATTTAATAATCTCTTGATGATTGCACTTTGATTAATCATACATCAATTCAGGGAACAAGGAAGGCGCCGTGGAGAGAGCACTCATCTTCCACCAAAGTGGCTCGGGTTTGATGCTGTTTGTAGCTAAACTGAAGTAGGAAATTTGCAACGACGCGTGCCGAGTTTATGAAACGAGTTTAACGATCTTTAAGAAGGCCGCGATAAAAGTAAGCTTAGAGCGGTTTTATCACCAGTAAGAAGTCCCAAATAGCGTGATGTTGACTTCAACCAATCAAAATAAGGTATCATCAATTAAGGTACTAAATCATTACTTTTACATCTCTCTGGTAGATGTGAAAAACGAAAAAGACCATATACTCCACTCGCGCGCCTTTCGCGCTTCTCGAGCGCCCGGAATCCCCTTCCCATTTCTTTTCAAACGCCTGACACGCAGGCTATCGATTCTGTTGTACTTATAACTCCGCTTACTATACGACTCAAATCAAGTCTTTGATTTTCACCAGGTTAATGAAATAAAATGTTCTTACAACTTTGACTCTGTCGCGCTACATGCACTAAAATCCAGCCTAAAATGTCTTGAAACTAAAGGAAAATTTTATGCCCGGTCACCAGTTAATAAAAATACAAAGACAGCCTCACTCACCAAAAGATGAATGCCAACTTATTAACTTTCCTGCCATCCTTCTTCATAAATCCAAAATCATACAAGATATATCGTGGTTCATTGCTGAGTTGCTCCTTCATTCTATTAAACTGTGCTTCATCTTCTTCTTTTGTTTCTGTTTTGCATGGATCACCACACACGTCAGAAACAATTTTCTTCTTTCCTTCAATTTTGAAGAATGCAAACTTGTGTTTGCTTCTCATCTTCATGTCATTAAACAAACCGTTGATTTTAGCATCGACTTGGACCCCTGACATAGACTGGATCAAGAGAAAATAAAAATAAAATTAATAACCTAAAAAAATCCTTATCAAGGTATCAGAACTGCTATATAAAGGAAATACAAATTTCAAAATGAAGCATTTTTGTTCAATAGAAGTGGAGAAAATGAAGACCAAAGTTGATATCTGTGAGAGCTATTTTTGAAATATAATTTATTACATTACGAGTTTCAATTAAGCAAGGGGAGATTAAAGCAAAATTTGCGTACATTCTGCTTCCTAAAATAAAGAACAATTGCTTTGATCATTCCTAATCACTCTTATGGCTGAAAAAAGCCTGGCCGAGGGTGTGTTTAGTGTACAACGACCTCTGTTTTTGACTAAAATAGCAGTCGGCTGCTATTCTGTCGGGCATTTTTAAAATTAAGAGTTAACAACGGTCATCTACAATTTTATCAAAATACTGTATCTACTTACCATTGTGATATGTTGATCGTGACTTCAGTTTTCAAAAGACCTTTAAAGCAAAATAGTTAAAAATTAGTCGGGGTCAACCAAATTAATCTGCATATAGATGTTTGAAATAAACTTTGTGGAGCAAAGGTGTACATCGTTAGTACTTTATACTGAAAAATCTTTAAAAAACTTAATCAGTTGTAGCAACTTGATCAAGAACTTGAGCGTTTGTTCGGGATAAATGTTTGGACTCCAAAAACTAACTTAAAACAAGTCTTAGTTTCGCGCCTTACCGGTAACTTTCTTCTTGACAGCTAACTCTTCCAACTCTATGGCTTGATAACAACTTTGCTGCAGTTTCGTATATATATGTTCCTAGTGTGATGTAACATTCTATATTTATAATTATCCAGTTGCTCTAGACCGTGGTTTTCTTCGACATCATTTACTTCAAAGCGAGCTCAGTACATCCTTTTAAGGAAAAGCCGCGGCAGTTTGAAAAATAATGGAAATTGCGCAATGATGAATTTGCATAAAACTGAATTATTAACAGTTGATTTGCGTTTGTTTTATATCGATTTTATAGGCTAGATATGGAAGTAGACATACACAAAACTCCTATCAAGCAGAAATAATAATCAATATTCATTGTTTTACTGAAGACAACCCGAAAAACTAATGCACGAAAATGTTGAAATTTATAGGCTCATACTGACCAGCAACTTCATTTATAATTATATTAAAAGGTTTGAAAGACACGATTAGATTGCGCGCTTAAGGTGCATTAATTATGTTCTTATATGGCGTATTTTACAACTTAGTTTTTTTAAAATATTCATGACATTAGATAACGTTATCTCGGTAACGTCATAGTCCTTAAAATCGAAATGCACTTTTTGTTAAATCTGAGAAACTTAATACCTATGTACTATTGGATATAATTCAGGATATTGCTATGTCATGTTAGCAGTCGGTGTACCTGATTAAATGTGTCAGTAGTTGCTAACTAGTATTCGAGATTAAAGTAGAAGATCCAGCTACATTGGAAGAATCAAAGTAAGTGAACTGTCCAGACATTTTCCACAGCCTCGCACAGTTTTATTCTCGTAATTATTTTATAAGATTATAAACATTCTGAAAAATGTTATGATTGCTGATTGTTTTAGTAAAGCAAGTTTAATTTATAGAGCTTTGCCTAATTTTTTACCTAAGTGTTTATCCTATGGATTGTAAAAATGATGTCATAGTTCTTATGTAACGTAAGAACAAGCTTTTAATAGATCCAATCTTCGAGACAGAACGTCGACCTGCATTGCGTGGGTTATTGTATGCTCCCATGCAATGATAAATTGCGTCCCACTGTATACATTACCAAAGTAGGAAACATTCGATATTGGCACCCGCATGTTACGTCATGCAAGGGGGAAGCTTGTCGATTGCCACTTGTATGCTGACAAAATAAAAACAAACATTAAAAATTATACAAAGATTAGGACACCCTGTGTTCCGTTAAGAGAGATTCTACGAAAAACGTTGCGATTTTCACTTACGTCGAATCCAATTTTTGCGAGGTGACATCATCGTACTGTAGTCTGTGAAGAAAAAAACCTTTATACACTTCATAGAGCACACTCTCGTGTTTCTGAAGTTTTGATTTTTAGTAATTTCATGGATTTTCCCAAGAACACTTTAAAAAGATGTATTAAATATAGGTGAAGCTCGACTCTGTAGCTATAGCGTGACATCTTGAAAAGAAATTGCGTGATCGCGTGATCCTGCGCGGTAGTAACAGGAGCATGGGGCGAGGTAACTTTGATAGATGATGCGAGACGATTAATAGAAGCTTGCGCTTCTGTTCAAGAGAGAAATGGTGATTTTTATACTCTGTTCCCAAGCCAGAGAGGCTAAAGGGAACACATACATGTGTTTTACACTGTGTTTTCTTGGTATACTTCTGCTGATGTCTTCTTAGATACTTTTAATCGCAAACGTGACCTAGCTACGCTTAGACAGGAAACGTCGTAGATCTCCCTAATTTGGGCACAGAACAAATGATAATGTCGTCGCATAAGTAGGAAGTCTTTACATCACTGAAAAATACACGTACACATGACAGGTCCCCCCTTCCCTCCCCTGATTATTCTTCACTAAAAAATGATAGACTGTATTAATCAATCACGACTGTAAAACGTCATGTGGACTGATCCGGAATGGTATGTTTACCAGCTGGAAGTTCGGATTTGATTTTTTCCTCGGCTGCATAAGCTCCAACCTTCTTGTTCTTGAGCTTCCCCACTTTCATGCACTTTGTTTTCTGGTTCTTTATGGAGAACTGATACCGTCGTCTTTTCTAAATTAAATAAGCCCCCCGTCTCTATGGATTAAGCCCCCCCCGCCTCAAATGGGCTTGAAATAATTAAGCCCCCCCCGCCTCCGCCCCCGGGGGACTTAATAAAGAACTTACGGTGTATTTTCACAAAGCTAAAACGTGTCTTTGCATCGATCAATTAAATTCCGAAAATAGTGGCTCAGTTTTGTTATTTAAGACTATGTTTTGTCTGTCGCTACGGACGAATGGGCAAGGATGGATATGAATTGACGCTTGAAACAATTGGGCCAATATCTTCAAGTTTTAAAGCTATGCTTGCATCGGAGCCTGGAAAAATCACCAAAAATGTTATTATGGTTAATGGTGCTCCCTGATAAAATCTGTTTTATATCTTCTTCATAGCTCTAATGGAGTTTTTCTGTGTTGGGGTTTAGGCACAGAATTAACCCAAAACTGCAAAATATCCTCGTCACTGCTCCTTAAGAGTAGACACTTCAAGGGTAAATTCATCAGCTTGCCTTCTTAAGAGCATCATTTTCCTTTATTCAGCTGATTACTTTTCATCGCTATCAAATGTGCGAGTTTCTCGTTTACAAACTCGTATAAAAGTTTAAACGTCCGGCGGAACAGTTCTGGAAATAAACCAGCGAGCCGTAGCGGAAGTTGATTGAGTATCCAGAAACGTGACTTGTAAATCAGCTCAATGTTTTCTTTTGCCCCCATGTGGTCTGTTCTAGGTGTTCAGAAGGTACGATTAGGGCAAAACGAGGAAACTATGGGAAAGTTAAGGAAAGAGTTTTCAATCTGTCTTTAGCCCTACCTCTCTCTATCTGCACGCCTTAGGTAGCTAACGTTCATTTTGTTCAGTTTAAGCTCAAAACTCAGAATCATATGTGCATAGCCTGTGGGAAATCCATGAGGGGGCGACGTGACCACGCATTGGTTATTAAATGATCACTGAATTTTCCAGGGTCTGATCAACACCTTAGCACATCACAAGAGAGCACAGAATAGAGGTAAATAAGATTTATTTCTCTGGTCCGGCTTACGATGTATCCAAAAACTTTGGGATCAAGTAAATCAGATGTAAAATTTAGTATTTATAGCGACGTCGATCCGGAGTAAACACCTAAAATAAGCGACTCTAGGCGGTAGCGGACAAGTTGATTGAGTACAAAACAAAGAATGGTTATTTTTGAAAAAATACTCCCAGAAACGTGACTTGTAAATCAACTCATTCCTTTCTTCTGCGTCCATGTGGCTTGTTCCAGGCGCTCAGAAGTAGATATGGACGGTAAAAATAGGAACAAACGTGGAAAATATGGAAGAAAATGGAGAGCCGCTGCTCTCTATATGAACGCCTTAGTTAAATGACATTCATTCTGCAATTAAGCTGAAAGCTTAGAATCGTATTCTTTGTCAAGTTGACGATAAGGTGCTTAGCCTGCGGGCAACCTGTTTGGTGAGAGGGGGCGTGACATAGCATTGATTATTAAATAATCACTAATTTAAAACTGTTTCCAGAATCCGCGAAGGCACAATTGAACTGAGGCGTAAGATTGGGCTAACCAAGGAACAAGGGGAGTCAAAACTTTCTCCGCGATGTCTGGGACTATAGCTACTACCTGTGCTTTTGAAATGGAAAAACTTTACATCGGCTCTGGTAAGAAAACAAAGGAGAGACGATCAGGTAGGAATGTCGTGGTTCTGATCTTATTCTTTTCATAGGCCTTGTTTGCGAGTGTGAGAAACGTTTTATGACTATCTTGTACAACGTACCAAAAAAACTTCTGGCCTCGAATAGGATTTGATAGACAGAGTCATAAGTAGTTATAATCACCTTATGCGGAATAGTAAATAGAACAAGAAAAAAATTAGTTCTAATTCTTTACACTGGTTACACTTTTCACGGAACTTTATCCGCAAACTAAAACTCAAAATCGATTTTGCAAGTAGCAAAGCACCGGGATGATTTTTCTCACCTTCACTCCAGACCATCCACTGACCGCTTGCGCGCCTGTTCTTACCCTAAACAAATATACGGGTTGTTTTGCAGTCTACTGCATTGTAGGCTCAATAAACAATACCACAGGAACGTACTGACCTAGGGACTCAAAAATCAGAATTGCATATTTTTCTAGCTCAAGTATTTTAAGGCATGGCTCTTCCTTTGATCCTACACCCTATATTTGTTCTGATAAATGTGATGAAATTTTAAGTTCTGACTTCCTCCAACGATATCATACGTAGAAGAAATAATTTCACGCCTTTAATTTCCTTGCGGGTTTACTTTGATCACGTATCTGATAGTGCCTTAATCAATGCGAAATGTAAATTAAAATGTACCCAAGGATGATTTATGTTGATGTTAATATTATACCCATCATTCGGTCATCCTAGCGGCTCTTTTAAGAAAGATCATGATCAGGTCACGCGTTCGAACATATTTGCAAATTTTGTGCAAATTATGCTCTGTGTAATGTTTTTAACATGCTTGAGAGCATGCGATGCAGGCCCCGGTTGTTACTGCAAAGCGCGAAAACAGACGAAGTCGAGCCAGGGGCACCCAACGGCAATTTTCGGGAAAATATCTGTTCGGAAGACGATTTGAGAACTAGAATTTTCGGAACATTTGTTGTAAAATTTCTTGCTTGCCTGCCTCTCCTAGGATTTTCGAAGATCTACAAAATGGTATAATTACCCATTTTAAACGGATATTTACTCTAAAAAAGGCCACCTAGAATTTTCGGGAGCCTTTTCCTGGCTGAAATTTTCGAAAAGGTGAGTTTTGATCCCTATAATTTTCGGATCACTAGACTTTCAGCTGGGAAATCCGAACAGATGAAAAGTTTTTAGGTGATAAAAATATGCCTATATCTACCGTTTGAATACTAAAATACGTTCAACAATGCTATGTTTAGTGGTTTTGAACTATATCCTCGTTGGGTGCCCCTGTCGAGCGTGAAGCTCGAGAGACGAGCGCAGAGCGCGAGATGACGGAAAGGTTCACGTTTACGGTAAACGGCAAACGTGAATTTGTACCACGTGACCAACTTCCCTTAACTTGTGCTTTACTGCTCATTACTTCTACCCCAAAATTAGTAGCTTCACTTTAGTTTTGTCTATAACAATTGTTTTGGACTGTTTTTAGCTGTACCTTTTGTGTTTTGAGAAATTCTCAACTTGAATCTGCCATTTGCCGTTTCCGTAAACGTCAGTCTAAATCTCTCTCTTACTCTCGCCAATAAATGACGTATGTTATCTGTGCTACAATTTTTCAAAATAAGACTTAAACCGTGTTTTGGCAATGTCGTCGCACTTTTTGGAAAGAGATTCGGTAGAAAACATCTGCACGTATATTAACGTCCAAAAAAACTGGAAGTTCTTTCATTCCACGTCGGACTGTATCCACACGAACGCCACCATTCTCTCTTGGTTAATTACAATCTGTTAATGGTTTAGACTTTTTATACATGTGACAGTGTTCTTTCTTTCTTATTTATTTTATTTTATTTTTTTCACAATCGAATGTATACAAATATAGTCGTAAATCAAACGTCGCTCGCAGAGAACCCTGGTAACGAGGTTGACGTCTCTCTTTTCCCATTGTGACGTCAAATTGTTATGTCATATTTGTAAGGGTTCGCGCGCCTGGGTTTGCTAAGACTGCTACCAACGTTAAACATCTTAATATTTCGCTGTGCTTTACTTCATGAGAAGAGAAGATAAACCAATCGCAATGAAGGTACTTGAAAAAGTGCATTGCAAAGTATTCCTTGTCGCCACTGCCGCTGAAAAGTAACCAGTCATTGGAGAGAAGCTACAACCAAATCCAGTGCGTCTGTTTTCGCAGGCTGCCTTGGACATAGATCTCAGCAAGGACACTTAGAATGAGAAAACGCGGAGGATAAGGTTTATACTTCTAGGTTAATTCTTTATCTTTCTTCTTTAGTCAAGATGCCTATCATAATGGCAGGAGAAAACCAAGAAGTTCCTTTATCCGACATATATATGGCCAAAATGAGAATAGAAAAGGATTTTAAGGCTACACCTTGTACGGCAAGTATTTTTACTTTTTACCATTATTCTTCCTTGTTTTTACTTAGCTTTGTACAGCCACGTCCTGTAAGGGCGTATCAATCGGAGTTTTCAAGATCCTCCGGGTTACCATAAAATCCCCTCATTAATTAAGGTAAAATATCTGTATAAGAACCTTCTCTGTAGTTACTTCGCCATAAAAACTTTAACTGTCTGCTTTTCTTCCAACAGAAAGCCTCCTTTGGTTATGATTTTGGAATTGAGGTTGCCCTAAAAGAGGAAAACCTCTCACCAACTGGCAGGTATTTTTCTCGGTTCAAGTTCAGTTCATGCTGTAACTAGTCTACACCAAGGCATGGTCTCGCCGATTATCACATCTTCTCTCTCTTTCTATTCTCAGTTACTACGACAGGGCAGTGCTGAATTCTCTTTTGGTTTTACCAGAGGTAGGATGCCTATATCCTTTCTCATACTATAAATTTACGATTTTTTGAGTTCATTCAGCCGGACAGGTATATTTTGCTTGTTGAATTTTCCTTTCATGGATAGCGCAACACGATTTAAAGAGAGTGGGCTTCAATCCTCTTCTCCCCTTCCCTCCTCTCCCCTCTCCTCTAAAAAACGTTAACTTTGTTTGGTAGAAAGAAAATTAAAAGCAATTCTTGCAGAAAGCAAAGCTGCTTAAGCCCCCCACCCTCCCCCCACACTTCGGTCTCCCCCTCCCTGTGCATAATTTGTAAGTTAGACTGCGAGCAGTTCCGCCTTTTTTCTTCAGATGTAGTAATGCAAGAAACGAGGGCGCCTTTTAACTTTATCACTCCCGTGGTCACTTTTGTGTCTCGCCCGTTTTGCTCGACGGACTAAGAAGAAAGAGAGATTGCTTGCAGTCTACACAAAGTTGAATGTTTTTACTAGTGATTTGAAACTATGAGGAATTACTTTTCGTGACAATAAACTGTATATCAAGAATACCGATTATAATGGGAGGTACGTTTTCTGCCGATAGGATCAACAACGACGTGGTATTATTACAGCTACAGAATGCAGACCCTTTATCCGAGCCCTATTTCATTATGGACCAAAGCTCGGGGTACCTGTGACCATTGTGGTTCCAAACGGAAGTAAAATTCAAACTCAAATGTGTAGTCAGCCAGGAAGAGTTATTGTGAGCTGTGGCGCTGATATAAATGAGGTGAATAAATGTTTTCACTTGCCAATAAACTGAAAAGTTTAATCAGCAATCTTTTTCTCTGTCCTCGATTCACAGAGGTCGCTAAGCATTGAAGCGGTTTTATTGTTTTGTTTTGACAGCTCCTCGCACGAAAGAGACTCATCGGACTTTTACGACTGATGTGTAGGCTTTGTTAGATTATGCTAGCAAAAGTACCATAATTATGCTACGAGCAGTGCTCGTATATTTCTAAAATTATGCCAATAATTATGCTAGTTTTTGTAAATTATGCTCATTTTAGATGAAAATGCAGAACTTATGCTTCTACTATTTAATTAAAATTTGGTCAAAACATCTCAATAACTATGCAAGAAACAAGTAAATGGCAAACACATTTACCCTACTTGCATCTAGAAAATTTAAGAGTGCATAATTCATGGTCTGATAACTTTAAAAACCCAAACAACTAACAACCAGCATTCAAGCGGGTGCCATCTAGCTCTTGGGTAACCGAGCTAGTTATGCGCATGCGTTGAGCCCTGCTGAAAGAGTCCTGGGTCACTTTCTGGTCATGCCCTCCTTTGACTAACGACACAGTCAGGTGGTTTTGCCCGCTTGTTTCCAGGGGACTCGTGGATTGGAATAAAACGTGTTTTTCGAGTAATTTTGTGATCAGATATCTGAATTGAATCTGAAGCTTTCGTTTCAATACCAAGTCATAAAGTCGTATAGCTGTGTTTTGTTTTCATCCTGGCCCTGGTCCACAGGCCAGGCAGTTATGTAAGGTGGTTATGCCCGCCTTTGACTAACGACTCAGTCAGGTGGTTTTGCCCGCCTGTTACTGGGGGTCATGGATTGGACTAAAACATGTTTTTTGAGCAATTTTGTGATCGGATATCTGAATAATATTGTATAGTGAAGCGTTTTCGTTTTTGATACCAAGTTATAAAATCTTATAGTGTGTTTTGTTTTCATAAAACATGGCCCTGGTCCTCTGAATTGCCAGGCAGTTATGTCTAATAGTGTGGTTATGCCCGCCTTTGACTAACGACTCAGTCAGGTGGTTTTGCCCGCCTACATGGGACTCAGGTCCCTTGAATGCGACTATAAGCAGACAAAAAAAATGATTTTTTTAAACTTAAATTTGTCTGTAACAATGATCTCGGGCTAATCTGCGATCGGGCGTATTTTTTCCCTCTCTTCTGCCAAACAAAAGAGAAGAAGGACTTCCTGATCGCAGGTTAATATCGGGCCAAAAAAATTGTTGCATGATCAGTAAATGACAATTTTGTGCTGCAAAACTAGCCAAAAGTGCAAATTATGCTTGTGATGGCGAATTATTTCAAAACTTATGCTAGCATGATCTATCAAAGCCTACTGACTTATGCGAGGTGCTTTCCTACCCGATACCGAATCCATGGAATACACCAGCGGCAGTCACTACCAGAGATTCTTATGTCTCTAATGGTTTTTTTATCCTTTATATGAGAATTTACTCTGATATTTCTCTAGCCTCCATTTCTATTTTTCGTTTATCCTCTGTGACTCAGATATATAGTGGTTGCGTATAAAAGGAATCTATTGAAAATGTAAACATGTTCAGTGTAGCATGATTTTCTACTTTCAGTTATGTATGCCATTACGGTTTCCAAAATAGTGGCAGTTTTCAAACTGTATTGGTGAACGCGTGGGGATTTTTTAATCTGAGAATCATCTTCTATGGGCACCTCTCCTCAATTTTTTTTTTCATTCTCAGGCAAAAAAGAACGCCAAAGAACTTGCTAAAGGAGTAAAATTGGAATATATAGACAGGTAATGATAAGCTGATATCATTGGAAAGCTGATATCATATTGGAAAGCTTGTTTGTAGGCTGCTTTCTGAGTACAAGACATCCAGCAACTCTTCATGAAAGAAAAGATCTAACGGCACTTAGCTAGCCAGGCCAGGGTGGGAGGGGAACTCAAAAACGTTTTAAATACAGGAAAACAGTCTCCCCCGAGGTGCAAGCCCTTACCCTTTGGTACCCGTTTCACATACCTAGTGTAGAACTTTGCCTCTCTTTTAACTCCTTTAAGTGTAATCTTTTTAAAATATGAATAAATCAGAAAACCAGAACGTTTTCTAGACTTTTTCATCTGTTAGCCCTTTAGGTCTTTCTACAGACCAAAATGACAGATTTCCCTGCCCTCGTCTGTATCCCTACACTTTCATATTCCTGAATCCTGAAAAAGATACCCCCCTCAGGCAGAGCCTCCAAGTATAAGCCATTATAGGGAGTAACCCCGGGGCCTGGGGACGTTGATATCACGGGTTGTCAATCTGACATCACTGGTGTGCTTTGCACTGCGCATGAGCCAAATTCTTAAACTTGTTTCTTGCTACGCTTCTTTTGCAGAGACCACAGCTCCTCCATGTTAGCAGGCTTATGTACCATGGGTTTTGAGATTCTAGAACAATGTAGATCCAACGTTCAAGCTATCCTTGTCCCTGGTAGTGAGAAAAACCTTCTGAAAGCGTTAAAATGTTCTATAAAAAGCATATCTCCCGATGTGCAAATCATAGTAAGTCTGACCGAATCTGCTGTTTATTTGTTTGTTTTCCTTGGGAGATTCACAGATAAATATGACAGGCATGCACGTCGTCTCCCTTTTGAGGTGTTAATCGCAGTTTTGTTCTCATTCAGGGTATTCAGGACCGCGTTTTAAGATTCAACGACGCGACGGTAACGAGAACGTCTAAAAAAAAAATAGGTTTAGTAAGCACAGCAACAGCTTTGCACGTGCAGCACGCTTTTTTGTACATTTCCTTGCCGTTTTGCACGAATACGACGTGAAAATGCCTATTTTCGTGTTTAATGAAGAACGTAAACAAGCAACGACAAAAATTTATTTCACTTTCTGAGCTTTGAATATGGTCCGTTGGAATTCAAATTCAGGAGGGCTCGCCTACATTTGACAGAGCAAGTAAGTAGGAATAATCGCGATAAAGACTGAAAGAACGCAAATTCGCTTTTAAAGCAACGTTCTCGTTGCTGTCGCGTCGTTGGATCTTAAAGTCTAATAACCTGAAAACGGACCATGCCTGAGCGCGGCAGAACACGTCGAATGAATCCAACAGAACAAAATGAATAAAAGCAAACAGAAAGACAGTTTAATATTTACAGATAAGAGACTAGAATTTCTGTTTGTCTATTTCGGCTCCAGTTCCCTTCTCGTTTCTAAAGTGGCGAATGACCAGCCTCGTTCCCAGTCGTCCTCGGCGATTTCGGATGTGACGTCACCTGTCAAGCTTGTCGGGAAAATTTGCCAAGGAAAATTCGCGCTCGGTTCCAAGTCTCCCCTGGTTACTCGGGTAGCGCAAACTGGCCTGAGTACGAGGCTGGTGAATGATAACAAGAGCGAACGCCGTCATACTGTGTTGAAATATGTTTGTGGTCAAGTAAAACCTGAACCACGCCCAGATTGGTCTCCTTTAAAATGAAGGACTCGAATTTATATGGGACCCCCTCCCCCCGTCCCCGGTTGTTATAGTAAAAAAAAGTTCTTGCTCAACATCATCTCCCTCCTATATTGACACATATTTTATGTTACCAGGGAGTCCACATGCAGGACAAAGAGCGTACAGAGAGTACGGGTAAGATATGGTTCTTTTTATTCATAGTGACCATATTAAACCTTAAGCACATAAACACCTCAAATACCCATAAAGGAGCTAAGCCACGATATTTAGCAAAATTAAAACTGTAAAAACTTCCACCACGAAAACATAAAAATAAACGCTCAAGACATTGAAAGAAGGAATAAATAACAAGGCGAATTCAAAAGACGGTACAGATGGACAAATTTGAACAAGATTATATATTAAAACGGATTGAAGTTGAAAACTTTAGTAACAGTTTTTCAAGGTTCACTTTCGTTGTTTTCTAAAGTTTAAGGCATATTTGTTGCAGAAGAAGCCGTAATTTTGTCATTTACAAGTAAATTTCTTTGCTACCATGATGTTCCATAGCGCATAAAGTACACGGATTGGCAAAATGAACAAGACAGCCGTGACACAGTCCCTTTAACCACCCGTACGTTTTTCACTATTTTCGCAAGACACTAGCAAATTTCCAGGGGCACATAACGACGATTTCCTCTTATATGCATTGAAAACACTTTTTAGGTAGGCTGCCCAAGTTTTGCGAAAGTAAATTTTTTTGCTGATTCCGCTCTTCACCGCATTTTCGAATCCGAAAATTTTAGGTTTCCTTTTTCTACGAAAAATAGCTTAACCTGGGTAGTGAAATGCAAAAAATAAAACTTCAGAAAACCGTAGGGAATTTATTAGATAAATTTTACATGAATGGGAACGGTCATCTAGAAATTTTTAGCCATCCTCAAGTAATGAGAAAATTCCAGTCAATATTTGCTTCAACGGATATTTTACAGAAATTAGTCGTTGGATGCCCTCCAATTTTTGTGGTTTTGCAAATTTCGTTGTTGTGCTCTATATCCTGTACATATCTCACTATTCCGTACATTTGCTTCTATTGTAAAAAACTTTATTTATGGCCTTAGATTCCAATTTCCTGAATATGAGAAACGAATCAGATGGCGTGCTCCAGGTTAGGTAAGTTGTAAAAGCATTTAATACATAACATCGCTTCTTCTTGTGTTAAAAACAAGGGTTGCTCGGCTTATTTCTATTCCAGCCTTGAGGGCAGTAACACATGCTATTTCCTTAGGGCTTTGTTTGAGTTTTCTGAATTTCGGCTGGTCGACTCAAGGTGGATATTTCCACTGTGACGAAATTTTTACGTGCGTACGCGCGTAAATGAAATGTATGAAAGGTTGCGCGTAAACGTGAACGTCGCTTAAGTATTCCTCTTGCTCTGCTAAAAAGGTCTATTTAAGCTTTTCTCGTTTTCATCTCTAGCAATGAGGATGTTTCAAAAGCCGTTATACGAGTCGTGGAAGAGAAAGGTTTTCTCACACTGTTGAGTGAAGAAGGAGTGATGGCATTAGCCGCATTACTGTCTTCACCTCTCACTCAGTTAGAAAGGTATGTACAAACCCACAGTCACCGTGATAATTACTTGTAATTTTAGCATGTATATCCCAGGTGTCCAGATTGCGGAGACGGCTGAAACTGGCTAACTAATTTTTTTGTAACACGATAGGTTCGTTACCAAAACAAATCTCGCTATCCGAGCGAGCGGATGGATGGAAGGCTAGGAATTGCTTACCGGGTGACGTCACGCCCTAACTCACCAAGGACGAGTGTTCGTCTTTAAATATCTCCCTAACCCCACAACTCACTGCTTTTTCCTGTCCACTTTTCTTTGTACTGTTCCTATTATCTGATTAACACTGAAGCCCCGTCCAGACGTATCCGTTGTTGTTTGAAAAAGCTAAGGTATTTTTTCTCTCAGTTTTGCGAAAAAATTCGTGTCCACGCGCTGCTTTTTTGAATCGTTTTTACCAGAGGGCCAAATTGGAGGAAAAAATCTCCGTTTTAAACCAAAACGGGTACCTGTAGACGAGGCCTGAATATCGTTACTCAGCCAAGGAGGATGCAGAATGCTGGTAAAACTGTTTGTTCATGGGTGCCTCAAAGATTTTTAAGATCCTTGAAGCTGTTGTCCAATTTCAGCCTTACAAGGGATGCTGTATGTGTGCTCAAAATAAATACGTGTGAATTTTTTCATCGAGAAGGTCTTTTTTAATTTTCCATAGGGTGGTGGTGGTGTGTTCAGAGTGCCTTGTACCCAGTCTACTTCAAATAGAACAGGTCTTGAAGGCAGGCCTGGTTGCTTAACTGCTGTCCAGATGACAACTGACAATGATGACCAATAATAATGCACTGTAGGAAACTGGAGGATGCGGTGGAGGGGTAGGGGGTTATCAGTGATACATGTACTAAAATGTAAGGCCGGCTTTTGAGAGCCTTAAAACTTGAAATTTGCACTTCATTTTGTCTTGAACATTTTTTGACAATTTTTGAGGGGTACAGTGTACATCTACAAGGTCTTGGCATACAGCAGAAGCATACCCGACACCCAAGTAGAAATTATGTGAGAAACAGCAAAAATAAAAATATCTTATGTTTAGCTGGCTTAATCTTTGATGATTTTCCTGAAATTAAATTTTTTATAAAATATAAAGCCACATTTGCACATGTAGAATTTTGTATGCAGTGTAAGAAGACGTATAAACTTTGTTAAGTTATCAAGAAAAGTTGATATTTATTGAGGATAAAAGAAGTGACAAGTTGGAGTTACTCTGCAGATTTAGACTGGTAACAAACTTACTCATGAAGTGATGAGCCATTACGAAAAAGAGGTTTTTCAAGGTTACATTAGTAATTTTCTAATTGGATTAATTACATCCAAAAATGGACATTTCCATGTGTAAAAAAATATAGTTTTAATGTAAAAATACCATTAATTATTCTTAACTATGTCCAAGACAAATTTTGATAATTTGTAACTTGTAAAAAATATCAATCTTAACTCAATATCTGTTAGTTTAAAAAGTGTACAAAATACATATTATATTTGTGTCATTTGTTTCCACATGTTCATAATAAAGCTTATATCAAACAAAACTATTTTGAGTTTTCATTTGTAAATTCTACACGATTTTTTTATACAAAATATATTTTGAATTGTACTAACCTTGGTTGTGATTATAAAATCTTTAGTTTTCTCATTAAGGTATGTTTTTGTAAAGCTCAAACGTTTGCTCAAAGTTCCCATGCATACCAAACCTTTTTGGACTGTTCTCTACTTGTTTAATGTGAATAGAGAACTTTAGATTTGAGGACTTAAGGATGACTACGATCAGGAAGAGATTTAATTGGCTTACAGTTTTTTTGCATATAATTCTAAAAAAAAAATAGACACCTTGGAAAGCTTCATATTTAAAAGTTAACACGGTTACTTTTACTGCAGGAGATTAAGCCATCTCCTGATCGCAAAAAGATAACACCTCTAACATTTAACAAATTGTTTTCGTCACTACGACATTCTTCCCAAAACTTGTATTAGAATGATGATGGCTATACCACATTTTCCTGCCAAAATGACTCTGTTTCAAGAATGCACACTTTAAAAGTATTGAGAAAATCCAATTCTCATAGGCGTACTTTGTCTTAGAAATATTTTATAAAAAGTCTCTAATAAGCCAAAACCCAGAAAGTCCTCATTAAAGGTCCTTATAAATGCTGTAGACCTCATAATTATCAGCAATGGCCATGTTGATATGATTCTTAATAAATTCATAAAGGCTCATTGGAGATGTTCGCTGGTTCCAAAACTGAATTACCTGTCCAGCTCTGCTAACAAGATACTTGCCAAAGTTCCACTGAGGCGCTACTCTCGCACTGCTATAAAGATACCTGTACAAAGGATGGGCCTCTTCACCAGTTACTTTAATCTTTGCCAAGACAGGAAAATTCACATTGTACTTGTTTTTAACAAATCGTGCAATGCCACTGTTTCTCAAAGGCTCCTGATTTCCAAACTGGTTACAAGGAAATGCCACAACACTGAAGTCTTGATCATAAAGTTTTGATTGGAGTTCCACAAGCTCCATGTAATGCTGGTCTGTGTAGCCACACTCACTTGCAACATTCACAATCAACAAGACCTGACAGTATGAAATAACAATAATGTAAACTTTCAGGATTACAGGCAACAGTTTTTGGGACAATATTTTTTCAAATCTGGGAGAGGGAGGCAACCTTGTTATTTATCAGAGTGGAAAACGCTCTCATAGATTTTTTTCAAATCTTGCCAATACAGAGACAACAGTCCAAAGTATTAGCACACTACAGGGTTTTAAGAGATTACTGCTAGAATGCAAGGAAATTCCCAATTTGTAGATTTCATGTCATTGTTATTCTGTTGCTATGGAAGTAGCGATGTCAACGAAACATACTGTAAAATTATGTTCAATATTAGATATGTTGTTTCACTGTGGCTTTTCCGTACGTGCACTACAGTCAAAGTTATGGAGAATCAAACACGAAGAGGTGACCTTGAAAAATGGGTGGAAAAGTAACATATTGCTTCTTATCATAGGCTGATAATATTCATTCATCTTTTATTGCCTTGGACTTACAACCAAATGCATGATGCATGGTTCAAGACTAGTTGACCTGCTACCATCCCCACCCCCTCAGCCAACCCTTGGGACATGTCCAGTCTCCTTTAGCTTTGGCCCAGGGGGTATTGTTTGAGGTGGTCCGATGAGGACCCTGGGGTTAGGGAATAGACCGCCAAGTAAGAAAAAAAATTGCAAATCTTAGGGGGTATATCAGAGGGGGGGGGGAGGGGTTTGAATCATGCATTATTAATGATGAAAACAATCAACCTCTGTTTACCGGATTTTTTTTCATATTTTACCAAGATATAGCCATTATAAAAGTTTATTGTTTCAAACTGAAAACCTAGCAGCGCGACGCCATCAGGATTTAATCAAAGTTAGCCGCTAGGAGGAAAAACCGAATTGCAACGTGGCAGCATTGAAATGTGAGGCATTGGCGCTGAGAGCAGACTCACTGGCGGCTCGTCGTACATGTTTTACTGTCGTAATGATATGCGATTCCATCCCTGTTCACAATTCGATCATATGGTACATGTCAAGGTTGGAAAACTGCCTTTGGTTTCATTTATTGCTACATTGCACTTCGTTTAAAAATATTTGTTGAAATGCACAATAAGCTTATTCATCTGTCACGCAACGCAATGAATGAAGTCACGAACAAGAGAGAAGAAGCAAACCTTTCCTTTGAAGACACTCATTGGAACGACATTTCCTTCTAGATCCTTGACAGTTATAGAGTGGAAATCGGTGCATTCAATTACACTTCCTCCCAAACAAAATAACAAAATCATTCCCAAATGCCACAGCGCCATTTTCAGTGAACAATCTGAATGATTTGTGTGAAAGGCGACTGGTAACTAGTAAGTCGTTGTCATGACAATGTCTGAGCGATCAGCTGTTTGTGAATGTCAAGGTGATAGCCAATCACAGCTCGTGTTATTGCAGTTGACCAATCAAAGGCAAGTACGGAGAAAACAGCGCGTCCTTTCAATCTGCACGATCTGCACGCGTCTGAGAAAAAGCGAGAATCGCACGAGATAGCTATTTATGAAGCAATTTTAATTCATGTTTTTGAGAGAAGATGTCACATTTCAGCTTTGAAACTGAAGTGAATAATCTCCTGAGACTTGATGCCCCTATGAGTCGAGGACCAGCACCCCGATGGCAGAAAAAATCGACTGAGCGTCGGCGTTCTAGTTCCGCTCCATCCACGCCGCTTCGCAACTCCTTCAGGCTAAATTCAAGCAAGACTCCGTCGAAGACGCCGAAATCATTGAAGAAGACGCCAGGAAAAGCCAAGACCCCATCTGAAGACAGATTCATTCCTAACCGAAGTGCTATGAACTTTGAAGCGAACTATTACAAAATGGTTTCAGCTGATCGCGAGAACGAAGAAAACGAGTGCGAAAGTCCTTCGAAAGTCGAGTTCAAGAAGAACATGGCTGAAAACCTGGGTGGAAACGAAGCGAATACCAGGATTCTTGCTTTCAAGAATAAAGCTCCAACACCAAGAGAAGGTACCTTTAAATGAGAATATTTAAAATGAGATCGAGTGTTGAATAAGCTTATCTGGCTTATGCATATGCAAGCTCGTGGATCCTATTGTAAACTAACAAGACTTGCTTATTGTTCGTTTTAACAAGAATTTCACAACTATATCACCGATCCCGTGAAATTTTAAATTTCAAAAGTGTTCTAATGTATTAAGTACTTTTCGATTAGTCTATCACTAATCATAAAACGGGTCGATTTGTATTTTAGGCCATTTGAATGATCTTCGAGTCCTGTACAGCCAAAACAAGACTCCAGCAACATCGACGAAGAAAAATGCCAGACATATTCCACAGATCCCTGAAAGGATCCTAGATGCACCTGATCTCATTGACGATTATTGTAAGTTGAGTTCTGTCATCGTTCCTCCTCGCGAAACGTCAACACCGGCTAAGAGGGAGGAGAAACGGCTGTTTTCGGAGGCTAGTTGTCTCTTTACTATCATAGTTTTTCTTTCGGCTTTTTGTTAGCCCCAAAATGCATGCGCTGTCACAATTTTCGAAGTACACCCAACTTTACACTGCTGAAGAGAATTGTGATTGATTTACCCACAGAGACAACTCGCTGACATCAAACATTTGTATCGTCGCTCTGATTGCTTATTTTTATTTTTGTTCCTCTCCTTCTAAACTTGGTCAAAATAAAGATTAAGTGCTGTTCACTTTTTACTGATTGCTCACTTGTTCTAAAGTTTATTCAGGTTTATTGTGATTAAATAGATTGGATTACAATATGTGGCAAAAAAAGCGGAAATACGGTTGCTATGAGATATACATGTAAAAACAGCATTATTTTATCATTTAAATCATGTGATTGCTTAATTTATGACTTGGGAGATTGTTACTTTATCATAAAGTTCTTGAGGAGGTATGTGTTTCTGTGGGGGCACTTGCTAACTCATTTTGCTCATTTCAATACTTTCAGATTTAAACCTACTGGACTGGAGCTGTAACAATCACCTCGCGGTAGCACTGGGTGGCTTTGTATATCTCTGGAATGCTGTGTCAGGTGACATAGTCCAGCTTTGTCAAACTGTGACACCTGAATGTTATATTGGCTCTGTGGCTTGGATTAAGGAAGGGAACTACATTGCCTTAGGAGACAGTGATGGGGTGGTTCAGGTTGGTGTCTTTTTAATAATTATTTCTTAACATTTAAATCATGGATCAAGTTTGCCACAGTCAGGGAAAAATTAAGGGAAAACAATACCAGACCATTTGGAAAAACAATAATTTTTTAACGTCAGGGAATATCTTTGTTAGTGTCAAAGTCAGCGAAAAGTCAGGGAATTCTATTTTCATTTTACACAAATCCACTGAAAGGTGTAAAGGATTTTAACATGGAGACAGAAATATTGGTGATCTGCAAAGAGAACTAAGCAAGTGTAAAAAAGGATTTTTGTTTAATATTAAATATTAAAAATAAGTCACCTAATTCATAGTCTGCTACATAGCCGTTTTTAGAGTTGTCACGCAACGCTCCTCCCCACTGCTAGTGGGGAGGAGCATTGCGTGACGACTCTAAAAACGGCTGTGTAGCAGACTACCCAATTCAAAGCCTGTGAAAATTTGTCCAGAGGTTTGGGAAAGGTAAAGGAATTTTTTAGTTTCTAATGAATGGCAACCCTGTTTATGTGCCAAATAACGATGAAATCCAGAAATTCTGAATTTTTATGTACAAAAATACTGGAAAGTACTGCTATAAGCAAAAGACATGCTTATGAGGTTAATTGTTGTTGTGAACGCAGTTTATGCAATCATTGCATATTAAGAAGCTTCAAAAAATCCAGGACTTCAACATTGTGTGAGGATTCGAACCCATGACCTCATGATAGCGGTGCAACGCTCTTAGAAACCAACTGCTATGAAGCCACTGATGTTGGGAGCTGGTCAATTATGTGTTCACGTTCCCATGAAAGAGATGAGTATGACATAACTCATATATGAGAATTGCAGAAATGAAATCAAATGAACAATGATCCTCGCAGTTGTGAACACAATCTAGGCAATAAAATCAAGTGCTGTAGGCCATTTGAGGCTCTCACTCCCTCACATTACCCATTTTCCCCCCAAAACAGACAGCACAAACCTTGAAGTAGCTGGCTTTTTAGGTTGTTGGCACTTATTGAGAACCCAGATTCATACACTTAAAAGTTAGATTCACCTTGTACAGCATAATCAGAACCACAGGGGACTTAATCAGTAGCTGTCACTTAGTTAAATGTTGAAACCACTGGTATACTAGCCTGAGTGGTGGCGGAAAAAATTAGTGCTTCTGACACAAGAATCCTACCAGCTACGCAGCTAGGCTACCGGACGGGTATACTAAATCCTTGTTGAAATTGACAGCTGTGGGATGTGGAGGCGCAGAAAAAATTAAGAAGCATGACTGGTCATTCTGCCCGTGTTGGATGCCTCTCTTGGAATTCTTTCATACTTTCAAGGTACGATTCCTGAAATTTGTTAAATTTATTATTTCAGAGGTTTGAGAGGATTGTTGAATGTTGGAACATTCTATTGCAGTTTGACAAAAAAAAATTATGCTTTTTTACAAGTTGAAATTATTTAGACACTTAGGAAAGAGAAATACCATTAAAATAGTATTTTCTTCTGCAGTGCAGGCTAAGTGTTCAGCCTGTTGAATCTGTGTACAGTGACCTGGGAATGTAGTCTAAATCATTAGCAATGAAAGCCAACAAAATTTTCCTATCAATTTGTTTTTAGTGGCAGCAGAAGTGGAGCTATTCATCATCACGATGTTCGTGTAGCAGACCATCATGTCGCTACTCTTGCCAGACATTCCCAAGAAGTGTGTGGACTGAAGTGGTCTCCTGACGGGAAGTACCTTGCTAGTGGTGGTAATGACAACCTGCTGCTGATCTGGGATGCAAGTGTGAACACGATCAGCAACAGTAATACACCTTTGTATACGTTTAACCAGCACCAGGCTGCTGTCAAGGTGGGTAACCTGTGTGGACCCTTTTCAAGTACAGTAAAGTTATTTTATTTTACAGAGATAACTTGACCTTCTGAAACTGCCACTCAGTAAGCACCTCTTTACCCTTAGCTTTAGGCCCCAAGACCAACATCAAGAGAAAAAGGCTATGAGAACTAAAGAAATGATCACCAACAAAAGGAAAAATGCTTTGATTTTTAATCAAATTCTGTCAACTACATCCTTAAGGAAATGTGTGAAGATCAGTCTGGAGAATTTTATTGTGGATGTTGGTGACTTGTTAGCTCAATTGGTTGGGTACCAATCTTTAGAGCTGAGGGCCTAAGTTCCATTCAAGGGTCTTAAAATAACTGAGGTGCTGCAACATGTTAGACCTTGTATAACTAGGCGTCTCGATTAAGGACAAAAAAATATATGGTTAGAGTACTGTTCTTAGTCTAAAAAATGTACATCTTAATAATTATTGTAAGAGGGCTTGTTGAAGTATGTCTCGGATACATAATGTAAGACTAGTTTTTAGTAGCTAGTACTATGTCATGGTTGTAATTATTGTCATTAGAAGAAAAGATTCCAATACAATAGTCAACTATTGTGTCCACACTGGCAGTGCACATGTCTAAATCAGATTTATACCACAGAAAATATAGCCTGCGAACAGCAGACGAATTTCTGGTCGTCGCTTCTCTCCCGTACGTCTGCAGTTCGCAGGACACAGAAAATAATATTATTTCATCCTTTCCTTATGGTGTCCTCCTTTTATGTTAGGCTCTTGATTGGTGTCCATTCCAACGAAATGTACTAGCTAGTGGTGGTGGAACGGCTGATCGTCACATAAGGTTCTGGAATGTTGGTGCAGGGAATTGCCTTAGCAGTATTGACACTCATTCACAGGTAAAGATGCATACTACTAAACATTTAACTTAAATTTGACATTGATGGCTTGAAATTTTTCAGCTTTTACTACGTCTTATTAAGATATTTTTTTACACCTCAATTGAATAGCCTCTAAATCTCGAGGAGTACCAATCTAGTATATGGAAAACAATCTGTGTATGGCCTTTTATAGCTTTGATATATTATTTTTTGACTACCTGAGATGTATAAAAGCATTCATCTCATGCTAGCTCTCCTCACCTCCACTTTCTCGTCATTGCTCATTTTGGGTTCATTAAACTACCCTGCGAGCAAGCTCTCTGGGGCGCTCTGGCGGCAGGGTGGGAAAAGGAAGGAGCGCGTACAACTACATCTGTGGAATTTGCATTCCACCTCCAATTCCCCTGTGGCTCCCCCTCAACTGAGCTGTCAGATTTCTGCCAATCAGCATGAAGTGGAAACGAGCGTGAATGTAAAAAAAAACATTGAAAAACATGTGCCAAGGGTAATGACGTCATTACTAATGTCATCTCTGCCAATCAGCATTTCGCATTGACTTTTTCGATGCAGATATTCAAATTCCAGAGCCGTAGTTGCAAGCTCCCCTTCCTTTTCCCTCCCCGCCGCCACAGTCACAGCCACAGCCACAGCCACAGAGAGCTTGCTCGCAGGCTATTATTAAACCTGAATAGTAAACTGTCAATTTCTACCAAGCAAACAGTTGGGGATTCCCCAGCATAATACAGTACATGTTTGACTGTACTTAACAATGAATTGCTTCCATTTTTATACTTTTTTCCTTTTATAATTATTTCTTTCTCATTTATCAAGAGTCTTCTTTTGACACCCATAGGTGTGTTCCATTTTGTGGTCAAAAGAATATAAAGAACTAGTCTCAAGTCATGGTTATGCACAAAACCAACTGACAGTTTGGAAGTATCCATCAATGGTGAAAGTAACAGAGCTAACTGGACACTCATGCCGCGTCCTTCACATGGCTATGAGCCCAGATGGACAGACAGTTGTTTCAGCTGCAGCAGATGAGACACTCAGACTTTGGAAGTGTTTCGCTACAGATCCTGTTAAAAAGAAAACAAAGCCTAATCCAACAAGTAGCTCATTAGTACATCGAGGAATTCGCTGAGAGACATATTAGAAAAGAAACAATGAACAATTGGGCCGGAGTATAATTAATATGGAAAAGAAAATCTTATAATATTGTAAATAGGAAGCTGTTTATGTTAACTAGGTTTGAATTATTACACATTGTAAATATCCTAATGTAGCAGTTAAACCCAAAATTGGAACTTCACAATCTCACTAGGCTGGTATTTTTATTTTACAGATGTAATTTTACACTCATAAGTATCTTAAAAACTAAGTCAAAAATAAGAATACAGGAAAGATGATATCAAATTAGAATAATCAGTGAAAAATAAGACGTCTTGCAGGGTGCAAAGAAAGTCAGTTTTACAGCCTGCCATTTGGGCACGCTTTAGTTAGCATAAACTAGACCACAAGTCATTTCAACTAGCCTTAAAACCCTTTTTGATTAGCAGGATTGATTACAAACCTTCTGTAATTTGAATTTCCCCAAAAAACAGCACTTGCTCCCTCGGGAGGTTAAGAACAAAAATCACTAGCCCAATAGCAAAATCTAGCCCCGGGCTATCGGACACCACTTTCTTTGCATGCTGTCTTGGCAAATGTTTCCCTCCTTTCTGTTTTGAACTGACCAGCTAAATGTTGGAACACAGATAAAGTTGGTTTATTAAGGTGAAAATCTCAAATTTGAATGACTAAAGGAAGACAGTCAATGACTCTTCATCTCCAAGAAGTAGCTACCTGAACTTAATTAACATGGTGCAAAAGAACAATGAAAATAATAGTCTTTTTCTTACATTTGTGAGGTTTTAGCTTATATTCTTTGGCAAGCATAGCAAAAAAATACACCTGGTGTTTTTAGTTTGTCCAAAGGTCAAGACGAAGAGGTCTTGACATGTAAAAAAATAAATGCCATGCAACCCTGACTTCCCAAACCTCCTGCTGGAAATTCAAACCTTTGTCTTTTCAAAGCTCTCAGTAACTCAAACCAATAAATTTTTCTCCAAGAGGTTTCCAAAAAGTCAGGATTTTACTTATACCTTGCTGCTATTGCACATTCTCTTATAAAACTTCATGCAAAAATCATAAAATGTTTGAGCCTGTGGTAAAAAAAAGAATTGTCATTTCTGATGACTGTGAACATCTGAAATATTTTAGGAGTGCAGTTTATTTTGTTACGACTTTTTACAGCAAAGATCAGGACACGCAAGCAAGTAACAAAACCAATTACCATTGTACAGCTTGTGGTTTAGTTTTCCATGTCTGATTGTCTCATTCATTAATTTAATATTTCTGGTGTTATGGGTTTGTGAGTGCCAGTAAAAAGTAACCATATCACATTTGTGGGTTTTGCTGCAATTTTAAAATATTTGTAACAAATTAAGAATGTTATAAAATTATTTTGTACAGTACAGTTTTTGTTCACTAGTTCTTCAAACTAGGGAGACATTTGCAATTATTAAGATTTATGAGGAAGATTAGTGTTACTCCTATTAAACTTTATTCCATTGTAACTTGGTTGCAGACTTTTTTTTTGCTGAATTTTTCCAGCCAATATCTCATCTTCACGATGCAGCAGGAGTTCTAGTTTTTAGAATCCCTTTTTGGGAAAGGCAATTCATGTGCATCCAATTTCACACTGAAATTCACTTATAATGACTGCAGGGCATGAAATTAACTTTTTTTTCACAGGTGTCACCTTGCTTTAGCTGCTAAAGTATTTTAAAAAAGATGACCAATTCTAGATTTATCAGCCAGCAGGTTTTTAACTTCATTATAACTTTAAAAGTCAGATTCTCCAGAATAGTGAGTTATAATTCAAAACATAGTTCATACGTCTTAAAGTAGTAAACCCAGTTGATGCTGAAAGCAACCATTTACAACCTTGCTCAAGCGTTTAAAATCCAAGATTGCTTTTAGCTGGAGGGGGATTCCCTTCCAAAAAGACAGGGATGATCATCAGAAATATACAACAGACTCTTCCACATTTCTTTTCAACTTTTGATAGAGACCAGCAAATTTACCAAGTTTAGAGATGATATGTCCAGAGCAAGTAAAGATTTTGCTCCCCAAAGTCTAGTAATTTTACAAATGCTTGTATGGGGGCAAAAACTTTCCTTCCACCATGATACAAATGTCTGTATAGCCTGCTTGCAAGCTCTCCATTTATGGCAAGCAAAGTGAGTCGCGAGCCGAACCTATGAGCAAGTGGCAAAGCTGTGAGGGGCGGAGGAAATGAAAATTTATGGGAGATTGTTGCATTACTGGGTAAGTGCTTAGAACAGCGATGTATAAGGCCATATAAATTCCATTATTATCGTTATTATTACTGGGATTACAGTGTAGAAGAATTATACATTCTTGAGTTGTCTAATTAGTGGCCAATGCAAGTAGTTTTTAGGCCCATTTTTTTGCCCGCGACTTTTAACAAATAATCAAATGTTGTACATCTCTTAAAAGAATGTTATTTAATGATGATGACGATGATAATGACATCTCTGAATCTCTCTATCTAAGGGTGCGTTCCTTTGAGATGATCCGGATCAGGATCAGTGATCCGAGATCACTCAGATCATGGTAGATCAAATGAACCGATGAATCCTTGTTCAGAGTGGATTCATCGGTTCATTTGATCTACCATGATCCGAGTGATCTCGGATCACTGATCCTGATCCGGATCATCCCAAAGGAACACACCCTAAGGTACTATTGACAGCCTGCCAACTATGTCATGTAAAGCATTTTAAGAGAGTTCTGCACAGATTTCATAAAACATACATAAAAGTCATACATACATACATACATACATACCGTACAATACTTATATACATCTATATTCCACTTAGTATACATTGTCTTTGTCCAAATTATTTACTAACAAGATTGCTACATTCCTGCACAGTATACAATGAAACTTATTATCTTCCATCCAATGATTTATCTCTTATAATAACTGACTCTTCAAACTTTATCATAAGAGTTGTTCCTTTGTGCCAATGAGCTGTGACCTTTGCAGGCTACAACCGAAAAGAAAAATAAATTATTATTAATAATAAGGAAAATTGTTGTCCGTCAACACCATCCATTGTATCACAATCATTTATCACTTCAAACTTTGTTATTCAATTTCAGGTTCTGCAACTTAGGCTTCTTGGTATTAGGGGATTTCTCACAATTTAATGGAGATTTCATCATGATTTTCTTGCACTGGTTATCACATTAGCTCAATACTTTTGCAAGAAAACTAATATAGGACATATTGCATCTCTACATCACTAAGTTCAAACACTTCACTGCAACAAATTGACATCCATTTATTGCAACTTGATATTGTGCCTGAAGTCACAGACCAAATTTGTTACTTAGGAAAAGGCCCTATAATGATTCCAAAATTAGGCTTAGCCTGCAGAGACAGCTGTTTCTCCTAATACTCCTTTCTACGAGGGGCGTTTTGCTAAAAAGGATGTCTGAGCCTCAGCGAAAAAATTACAAAATGATGACAGAAAATCTGTCTGTAATTTGGTCGGGAGCTCTGATTGGTCAACATAGTAGTAATTTTTTAGCTGTTTTTTTATGAATGACGGACAAAGACATATGAATGCCAAATAATGTTGTTTTAAGTTCTTATAACAAGCTTCCTGTAAATATTTTCAATTATGAATAACAATGACAATTATTTATTTGGTGGATCTGATAAAAACTTATTGGTATCCAGCTTTCAAACAACTGGAACATGATATATGGAACTTACTCTAATACTTACAAAGTTGCATCCATGTAACACGGCTTCCACAATTCCAGCGACAAATGAGGCACAGTTTAGACTTCCTTTTCAGGGACAAAATGACAAGTTCAATAAAAATTAGAATACATGCAGCAAAGAAGAAATAATATCCTTTTATAATACATTTGAGACGGAACAAATTGGGACAAGCACTGTTTTCTTTTTCATTAAAGCACTAAATATTCAAAACAGTTTCATTAGCATTTTATTAATAACATTATGAACAATAATGATTGTAAAATAATGAATATAATATTTGCAGAAAAAATGGGAGCTTTGGTCATGTGAGCTGATCAAAATGGTTGGATGTGAGTGTGAATGTGTGCTGTGAAGTTTTCCCATTCCTCTTATCATTTTACTGTCTCAGCATGCTTACTTATTTACAAATGTCTTATGTTATCTCAGTCTATTCACTGTATAAGTGTCGCCACTGTTAAGAGCTAGCTGGGAAAGTCAACTGAGCTTGAATAACTATATTTATGTTGTTATATTTATTGGCTAAGTAGCCACAGTATATGTAACACCATGAATGCAGTTAATTTGTTTGATGTATACAAACCCTTGTCTTTAGGAACTGAGATAAATTTGTTGACAAGTGGTTCTTTTTCAATAATATAATCTACAACATGTGTCAAGGACTAAGTCACAAAATACTACTTCAATCTCTAATAATAATTTTTTTATACAGTTGGCTCGCAATAACTCGAACATTCAAGGGAAATTGAAAACAGTTTGAGTCATTGGGAGTTCGAAGCAAATACCCAGAAGTAAGGAAATAGGGTGGGGGAGGAATGCAAGTATCATATTTCTGTTGTAGTTGAGAAATTCAATGTTTTAGACTGCAGTTCGCTGCGTTTTTTCGAATTAAAACATGGTTTGAGTTATAAAGCTGGAGGATAAAATTTATTGTATAAAAAGGATCTGAAGGGAAACAAAAATAGTATTTCAAGTTAGCAGGAGGTTTGAGTTATCGAGGGTTCCGGTTACTGAGGGTAAAATTACAGTAAATGTATGAAGGAAATCCAGGGGAAATTGATTTTGGTTCAAGTTAGCATGAACTTCAAGATGCGGGCGAGGGTTAAAAATAAAATACCAGTAGGTAAAACAAACCATCACATGCACTAATCATTACATGAACAAAATTAATTAACACTGGTTCTAAAATTATAATTTACAAGTCCAGACAAATTGTGATGAATTTGTAGTTACCATAAAAGATTTGTAAAACCAGGAGAAGTCTATGTAGCCTCTTTTTAATATTTCGTTATCTTTGCCAGGGTTTGCTGGGATGTACAACACTACAAACATCAATACTGTGGATTAATATAAAGTTATCAGTCACTGATGTTTTCCACATGACCTGGTGATAAAAGTTGGACAACAGAGTCTAAAGCCATTCCTTAGATCATTCCTCATTAGGGAGCTTAAGCAACGACGACGGTGACGTCAACAAGAACAGTAAAACAGCAACAGGTTTAAATTGGCAAAGCAAACTGCACAAGGTTTATGCTCCTAATCAACATAGGATACAAGTTTTGTCATCATCATTGGCTTGTTCCAGTTTATCAGCCTCTTTACCAAACAGTGACTGCAAGGAAAAACACAATTTTATAGTAAGTAAATAAACAAAGAAATAGAACAAGAAGAAAAGCCTGGAAAAAATGCTAGCATATTGAGGGTGGAAGTGTCAGGACTTTTAAAAGGCAAAGAGGTACAATGAGTTGTTTGATATGAAGCAAGAATGACTCAACCATTAAATTAGCGGAGCTCCATAAGCAGATCCCTATAGCTAAGACAATTTGGATATCTATCCATCCGAGAAATATTGGTAGGTGCCTGACCATCCGTCGTCCGACCGTCCACTTGCATCCCCATCCACCCACACCACAGGATAACTCCAAGTGAATTCCTTTGCAATGCTTACAAGTTTATTGTTTGAAGTAAATAAATTTATTTATTTATTATAATTATTATTTTATGGTAAATTAATGGGAGACTCGCTATAATCCTCGGGTAAATATAATTATATAATACTGAAGTTACAGTGTTTACATGTATCCCTACAGAGATCAATATTATACAGTAGAAGAAAAAATTCAGGAAACTGAACACGCTATTTTTTCAAAGAATCTTACCTTCCAAAAAACTGACTTGATAAAGAGGAGAATGTTTAGTACTCTCACTTCCCGCTTCATTCCTTTTTCTCGTAACACCAAGACATCAAGCACTCTGGAACCAACCTGCTGGCCTAAATCTGATAACCTGTTAACAACATAAGATTTCAGTCAGTCTTACATACATACATACATAGGCCTATATGTATTCTCTAGTTATTCAGTGAAATACCTCTATTTATCAAAACTTGATCCCCATTCACCTCTACGGATAACATGTTTAGAAGATTTTTAATTGTACATGGATTAAATTTGTTTTCTTTTTAAAGGCTGCTTACTCAGAGTGCAAAGAAAGTAGTGTCCGATAGCCTGGGGCTAGTGGATTTTGCTATCGGGCTTGTGAATTCTGTTTTTAACTTGCCCGATGGGCAAGTGATGTTTTTTGAGGAATTCGAATAGCAGAAGAACTGTGAAATCAATTCTGCTGGCCAAAACGTTTTTGGGGCTAGTTAAAATGATGTCTGGGCTAGTAAATGCTAGCTTCAGCTTGCAGTAAAAGTGATTTTCTTTGTACCCTGCTTACTGTGCTTTTATTTCTAACGCAAAAGCCTGTGTTCTAGTTTTCTATGGCTGTTTGTCATATTCTAGTTGAACATGTTTGGTTGGTGTGACTGGAGAATCGGTCTTGAGGATCCATATCTTCATTCAAGTCTGCTATATCTTAAAAGGTTTTTATGCCTCTTGTACAGAAATTCCAACCCTGTCAACTAAAAAAAGGGACGTCCCACAATTTCCGAAGGTATGAGCCTCTAGGAGGTCTGGGAGCATGCTCCCCAAGGAAAATTTTAAGATATGTGCCTCTAAGATACCATTTCCTGCATTTTGAGATTACAGTCAAATGGAAATACCAAGGCCATAATTATCGCAGGTTCATGTTTGGATGCCCAAATGATAAAAATGGTTGAGAACCCACAGAATTGATTGATGCATTAGATTGAAGATGGATGGTCACTGGCCTTCACTGCAGAGTCAAATAGCCCTGGTTTATCTGCAGGATAAACATCCACTACCTTATTTGGATCCTACAACACTTTTTCTAACGTTTTTCGAAGTTTTCCCTTATACACAAACAAAAAAATTTATTAAAAGTCGCCCATTTGATAAATTACAAAATAAGACCCCCCACCACTTAGTTGTACCACCACCCCCCCCATCGTTTTCTTCCCTCACCCACCTGACCTCCCATGTCCCTGACTAGAACCAAATAAGGCACAGCTAAGTCTTATTTCAATTTCAAGAGAATAAATGCTTTTATAACTACTTTTACATCTGAAACTCACTTGGTTTGAAGCTCTGGGACCGTGTGAACTCTGTTCTGACAATACTGAATCATCTCAGAAAACAGCAAACCGAAAGTGCTTACATTGATCTAAAACAAAACCCATCGACACACGATTTGAACCATTAAGTCATTTAAAAAGATCCATAACAACTTTCAATTGAATCAATTACCTCGTTTCTTCCTTTGCTAAGTGGTTTTTCGAGGATATTCGTTTGACGACTTCTCCTGACCGACTCCATTTTGGTTTAGACCTGGCTACTAAGCTGGAAGGCTTGGTACCTAAGGTAATAAGATGGCGGATGAATTGACTAAGAGGAAACCTAGGAAAACAGTAGTTGAACGCTATTTTACTCGAATCTATAAAACAGGTTAGGCTACACTACTGTTAAGAAAGAAATCCTAAATGTCTATATGTTATTTAGAAAAAGATTTGGCGTTCTTTTGTTGTGATTTAATGTGTTTTTTTTTTCATGCAATTGCAGATATCAAGGGAAACCTTAGTGAAGATCAGTGTGTTTTACAGCATTCAAACAAGTAAGCATTATAAAGTGATAGCTTTGTGGGCATTTTAAATTCACAATTTTAAATGACTCCAGTCTATGCGTTCTAATTAGTAGGTTTTGAATTTTCTAGTTTGCCTGTTATGAGGCCCTGCCGGGGGGATGGTGGTGGTGGTAGGGGGGGCGTCCCATATATGCATGTTGCTTGTTTGAATTTTGAAACGTCTCGTGTCGGTGTTTATAAATGCCTCAAGTCGCTGTCGGAAATTGAACGAAAATTGTTTGTCCTCAAACATCCCGTTCGTGGAGATGTAGCATAAAAGTAAGCTATGTGACAGACAACCTCGTTCTCAGGTCTCCTAGGAATTGTGCAGGGTTGCATAAATGAAGTGTAACGCAACACATGCTCAGGAGGAGTCCACTGAAGCTCACTGACAAGATACGTTCTCTGAAGCGCAGGGGAAATTGATGGAAATTACTTGTTCTTGGCATTCAGACGGGGATAAGCCAAACCACTGCTCTTTGTCACTTATTCTCAGCTCTGCCGTCACTTTCGCAGTTTGGCTGAGAGACGTTGTCCCTTTTCACCATTTCATTTTACACTCTTTCGCAACTTTTTGGGTCATGTCACTTGTCAAAATTTACCCCGGCAGGACCTCTGTTATTTGAAAGCAGAGTTATATAAAAGTATGCCAAAAGTAGTTTAGATGGTAAGGCACTGTGAAGTAATGGTTTGACTCATTTTATTGATTTGTTGATAATTCACCTGATACTGACATCAGGTAAACTGAATTAATTCTGTGCAAGTCAACATCAAGTGATAAAGTAACTGTAAGCTACAGGCATGGATCCACACTGGTTTCCACCGTTTTACGAAAATCGGTCAGCGAGTTTTCATAGATAAATAAATTTGTTATGAAAAAAATTTTCCAAGTTAAACAAGTTAATTTTTTAGCATTTTCGCAAAAAGGGAAGGGGATACCTCTCACAACGGGGGATCGTAGGAATCTTGGGTGCCTTAGGACTCCCTCTCCCCATTCCTAGCTACCTGCCCCCCTCCCATGCTGGTACAAATTGTATACTATATAAAAATTATGTAGGTTCATGATTCTCTTTTCTGGCAGAATATGTGTGATTACCCTTGCTCCCAGTCATCCATTACTAAAATGTGAGCAAATTACTGATGTGAATTATCAAGTCAGTGCCAAGGTCAATCGCCTTGAAAACAAAGTTTCAGGCAAAGGCAAAAAAGGAGCTCAGCATTTACAGCCAGAATCAGTAATCTGTGAAGTCACTTGTTCTACTGGGGCCAAATACACGCTCTACAGGTAAAACTTAATTAAAATTTATTTCAAAATTTGCCACTCCCTGACAGTACAATACAAACTAAGAGTTTTAAAGCAAAGAAAATAAAGATTAGCAATGAGTGGTGAAGAAACCTAAGTGAAACCACCGGGCTACCTGTTGAGGAAATAGCCAAATTTCTGACTAAAATTGAACGGATGAACGCAAGAAAACACAAAAAATATGGCTTGATGGATGTCTTCCACTTTTTGAAGTGTATCGATATCTTCTGGGAAAAAAATCTGTTTATATCCTGAAACCGTGCTTGGAACATGTAGACAATATATATGTTTTGAAGAAAGTCTATGTCGAGGTAAGAAAACTTAGAAATATTTTTAAATAATAATGAAACAGTCTTTTCGTCATACTAATTAGCCTCATTTTTAATTATTATCATTATTGTGGAAGGTAAAATATGCCTCCTGTTGAGTTGATTGTAATATGGAGACAATTTTTTCGCAGATGCTAAGTGGGGGTGAATATCTTTTTAGTGGATGCAAAAAGCAAATTGATTTTTTGATTTACATGAAAGGAAAGAAAATTACTGCTACTCTTTTTCTTGAAGAAAGAAAGACAATTATTGTTTTTCATGCATCACTTGCGTACCCTGTGAGTAGAGGCTACATTTTTGCTGTGTGAGCTGTCGGGCAAAAAGTAGCCTCTGCTGAGAACTGTTCAATTTTCTATTGTGCATGCACGAAATTTGTCATGCAATGCGCAAGCAAAATTAATCATCAGGTCTGTTGTCAAATGGCGGGAGTTTCACAGGAATAAAAAAAAAATTGCGACAACTCTGATCTGCTACACAAGACTCATGCAAGACTTGTGCAATGCTCTAAACCGGTCAAGAACAGGAAAAACCCCAGGTTTTTTTAATTTATTCGTCCAGATTTCTGGATGGATTTGAATGGTTGTCAGCAGAGGCTACTTTTCGCACGACAGCTCACACAGCAAAAATGTAGCCTCTGCTCCCAGGGTACTTGCAGTCATTCTCCTTGCTCAAAAGCAATAGTGCATAAAAGTAAAATATTAAGTACAATGTAATATTTACACAGTAACATTCTTATAAAGAAATGAATGATTCTGTTTTCCGTTTATGTTTACTGCAGCTGCGTCAAAGGAAAGCTGGTTGAAGTAAACGAGGAGCTGGTCTCCAATCCAAACCTTATGCTGGAAAAGGTTTGTCACCTGTATTTTGTTATGATTTAGTAAAATGAATGATAGAAACTTCTAAGCCCAAAGTTGTTCTGTAGGTAATAAAAATATCAATGGCTCATGAATGATGGCTGAAATAGAGATTCTGCTAACATATTCAGTGATTCAATGGGATTCAAACCCGTGACCCCTGCTTTGGCACTGCAGCACTCTACCAACTGAGCTATGAAGACCCAGACCAGTTTGTTCAGTTGATCTTAACCCATGAAAGAAATGAAACAAAGAATGAAGATGATGTGAACTGTAGAAGTACAAATCTAATATATTATTTTTTGAATTTTATTTCTAACTTAAATTGTAATTCATTACAACTGCAATAAAATTTATTGTCGTAACTTCATTTAAATAAATGATTTTGTTAACCTGGTTAGACTTTTAAAACCACCTCAGTAAGTAGTTCAGAGTTACCGTAATAATGACAAAATTGATTACAATTTTTTATTTTATTTTTGCAGCCAGAAACAGAAGGATTCCTAGCCGTTGTTCTTCCAAAACTCACTGAAAATATCCTTGATGGACTGTTAACAAAAGAAGAATATGAGAAACTCCTAGAAGACAGAAAAGCACTCAATGGTACATAAATCAAAAATATAATTTTAGAGAAAGCCTACGGATCTTTTTTTGGTTTCCATTGTATCAAGTTTGGGTAGAGGTATTACACCAAGGCCTTCGGCGTTAGACCACGTTTTTGCGTTACTGGCAAGGAACATTCTATTCTAACGCAAAATGGAATTATTGTGGAGTCATAATGATGCAAAAAGGTTGCCTTATGCATAATAAGGTATACTAAAAAGCATGAAGATGCCTGGGCTAAATAAGGATAGTGAAGCCGGAGAAGTCAGTTCCTTGAGTCAACCTCCAGAACTTCAAAAGGCAAAACCCTTAAGCCCAACAAGTAACACAGTGATACAGCTGTGTTTGGGTGATGTCTGTTAGTTCAAAGTTTTCTGCAACATTGTTTGATCCAGACCATTTTTAGGATGACCAATTTTAAAATGCCATGTGGGACGTATGGCCGACTTTGACTAATTTCTAGGCTAAGACAAAAATAATATTGCTCATTTCACTCTCTGTATAAGACAAAAGACCTTATCTTTATCGCCCTCATTCGTTTCGTTTTGCACACAGAATTAAGTAATTTTTCAACATAACATCATGGAATCAGATTTTTGAGAAAAAAAAATCGTCGGTACCACAAAATGTACACCGCACATCACAAACCTTCACACTCTTTTAATTAAAGGGTTTCCGGTTTGAAGGACACCATGTTCAAGACTCAAGACCCTGGAAACAATCACTCTTCAGTTGCAAATATCGTAAATGATCAGTTAAGCGCCGCGGCTGATGAGCTCATCACATCTCATTATCATATATACCAGGCAGGGTAAGATAAGTTAACAATAGTAGACAGATTATTATAGGTGGGTTACTCACTTTTACAGCTATCCACGGAAGAAGAGATCGAAGTTAGGAGCTGCCTGGCAGCCATCGAGATCGAAGAAAGAAGGGAAGAAATTGAAAGGAAAGAGAATGAGTTGCAAGGGAAAGAAGAAAAGTTAAAACAAAAAGCAAAAGAAATTTTAAAGCTCAGCAACAGAGGCCAAGCGGGTGGCTGCCCAGTTGCAACTAATGGCAGGGCAGCTAGACAGCTTCGTTAGCCAAATTCTGGAAAAGGCTACAAAATAAAACAAGAAAAATGAAAGAAAATTAAAACACCAACGTACACTGCATGGAAGTTTTAAAATTTTATTGTTATCAAATCGTTTTCTTCGTAGCAAAATCAATGTACAAAGTTAAAAATGGAAAAAGGCCTAAGTCAGACCTGTTATTGAAAGAAAGAACATTAAAAGAAATTAATTTCTCGCATCCTGTATGGTCAAGTCCTTCTCCATAGAATCCACTCTATCGCTAACATCCTTCACTTCCCACAACGCAACACTCTCTTTGTGGAATGTATCACTATACAAGAGATCTTTACAGACATCCAGTTAGTGGGCACATCCTCCATCATACATTGCATGTTTTCCTCACCATCTACAGAGTATTCCCAATTAAGGAAGCACCTAATTTTAAACCGGTCAGATGAAAATAGATTAATAAATATACAAAAGTCCAGGTATAGTAAATAAATAAATATAGACAATATTATCACTAAAATCCCCGATTACATGTTTAGCATCTCTTAAATCAGGCGTAATAATGGTCTTCTTCTCCTACTCCCTAGACTTCACGTCAATATAGGTGGGTAAAACCCCAAACACATCTGCATCTGTCGCCGCTAATGGTGGGGCACCCAACGCCAATTTTCGGAAAATATCTGTTCGGAAGACGATTTGAGATCTACAATTTTCGGAACATTTGTTCTAAAATTTCTTGCTTGCCTGCCTCTCGTAGGATTTTCGAACATCTAAAAAATGGTATAATTGCCCGTTTTAACGGATTTTTACCCTAAAAAGGTCACCCTAGAATTTTCGTTTTTGATCCCTAGAATTTTCGGATCACTAGTTTGTATCAATAGTTTGTTAGTTTGTCGAAAGGAAAATGGCGTTAGGAAAACTTTTCCAGGATATTCTTTCAGCTGAATCTTCCTGGACCAGCAAAGTCCAGAAATGCTTTTTTTATTACTATCAAATAAAGTTGTGACTGTAAATCTCAGTGATATGGTTTTCACGTCTTGTTGTCAAAACTGTTTCGGGTTGTCTCAGCAGAGGCCAGTCGCCAAAAAAGAGTGAAATCCTTCAAGAAGTCCTCCCAGAAAAGTATACAAAAACTAGCAATTTACAGATTGAAGGGTTCTCCTTAAGACTAAACCGTTATTCTAAAAATATTTTACATTATCATGGTAAGCCATTTCGGTTGCCTTCTGTGACACAAAGATTAAATGACGGATTTTACGAACATCGACGCTGTTGACAATTGGGAGCTTAAAAGCAACGACAACGACGACAGTGACGAAAACGCCTCTAATAAAGTAAATTCACGCTGTTTCAAAAAATTCATCGCTCTTATATTCCATGTTCAAGTTGTCAAATGGTGGTGAATTGTTGTGGAGTTGAATTCCAAAGGACTGTATTTAAGTTTAAAAACGAAAATCGTTGTCTTGTCCTCCATAAAACGTGAATTTAGGCAGTTTCACGTTGTCGTCGTGCAGTGATGGCAAAGAAGTGTTCAAAAAAGCGTGATTCACATGGAGAGTTTTCTTTGGGGTATCTTAAGCTGTGGAGCGTTTTCACATGATGCCACGGCGACCATCCGCTAAACGGCGTAGCACGGAGTCAGCAGGCGTCTAAAGGGGAAGGGTAGGAGGAAGGGAAAAAGTGAGGAGAATCTCTCTCTTCTCCCCCCCCCTTCCCTCCCACACCCCCACACAGCACACAGGCTATTCATTAGTCTGTTCCAGGCTCCAAGAGATTGGGGAAAAGGGTCGAAAACGAAAAGCGCGAAATACCGCGGGGAGAGACGGTCGCTCGCTGTCCTTTGCTGCTCCCTCGCTTTTTTTGCTGCTTGCTTTCCTTTTTCGCCTGTCCGCACTGACCGAGAGCCTGGCATAGGCTAGCTATTTGTCTGCTTAAAACCTGGGTGCTAAAGGTCTCTGCTAAAATTGTCTATGACCATTAACCTGAATTGGTGATGTCATGAGTAGTATAAAGGATGTAATTTCCTTCTATTGGTTACGGGCAACGGGTGCGGGAATTAGTTGAACATCTGTGGTTCTAGTCTCGCTTGCCACTATCATGTTGTATCCTTAGACATTCGAAAACTTTTTGTCGAAGTCTCCTCGGCCTCAGATGGAGGTAGGGTTTAAAGGGTCTTGGGTATCATGTGTCTTCAAGGCCAAACAAAATGACATTTACTCTGCCTTTACTCTCTCTCTCTTTCCCGTTTAGCTTCGTTTTCCAGGGCACATTCGAAAACGACCTTCATCAAGACGCTTTTGCAGCATAAGTTTAAAAAAAGTATCAAAGTCGTTTAGTTATTTATTGTAACTCAAAGTTGTTTTCTTTATAAAAGTTGCTCAGTGATTTTTGGTGATTACAAGTTAGTTCAAACTGAATGAAAAAACTACAACAACAAAAACAAGTTGAACCTCGCTTGAATTTTGTATTAAGGTCAGTCATTCATCTTTCTGTCGATGGAACCTGATTTAATTATAAATAACTTTAAACAACATCAACAGCCACTTTATCAGAAAAGTGTGGTGCATCAAAACTTTACCCCCCGAAATAATTACATATGAAAATTGTACCCCCCTTGGCAGTAACAATTTTTAAAATACACCCCCCCTCCAACCCCTTCTAGACCAAGTCTCTTCTTCCATCCCTTGAGCTTTGATTACATAAGCTATAAGATACCGGTAGTTGGCAGCGTAGCGTGAGATTTTGAAGGCGCACGGAGGGGCAGAAGAGTTAGCGCGCCGAAGGCGCCCCAAACCTAGGGGAGTCTGGGGGCATGCTCCCCCAGCAGAAAATTTTTAAATTTTGGGTCTCGGAAATGCCATCTCCTTCGTTTTCTGCAGGAAATTTTCAGTAAATAAAGACGACGGAAAATGCAGTAATTAGTTGTTTATTTTACCCATTTATCTCTAGTGTTATCGGTAAGGTACTGACTGTTTCCGGCATCAAGGACGTTTATACAAGCAAAGGGCGAGATGTGTACCCTTCAGACGGGCAAACTCTGTTATAATGCCATCAATATCAATTACGTCCTTATGCTTGTGTATGTGCAGAATTGCAAGAGAGCTCAATCTCTCGTCTGTCATGGTCCTTCGAAAAAGGAGTTTGCAGTCTCTTCGCGCAAAAGCTACGCTCAGTTGTGCATGTTAACACATGATAAGTCAAAAAAGTTATGAGAGCTATACTACGGGATAGAATTGTAGTTGGCTTGGTCAAAAGTCTCAACCAAGGTTTGTGGCTGCAGATTCGGATCCTTTTCACTCCACTTACTCAGTAAAAGGATAAAGGAAATCCTAACACAAAAACACCAATATAATGCGAAATATTTATCCCAATTTAATAATAAATATGCGTTCAAGAAATGAAAAAAAAACATTGCATAATTGATAAGTCCCTGTCCAGTTGCTAAATTGAACTGGATGGTGACTCATTTACTTAAAAAAAATAAAGAAACTGTCTATAAAATTTTCGTGGTGACACTTATTTGTACAAATATGGTGGCACACACACTGTATAATATATCATTATTCTTAAGTATTCCCTCCAATAGTGAATTACAGAATTCCTTATTAAAATTTGACCTCACAACATATTCAGCAATCTACACTATAGCTGAAATGTGCTGAAGATCCTACAGTGACTGAACTTTGATTGGATAAATAAAAGTAGGTTTGCTTTGAATTTAACTATGGGTAGAATTCAAAGGAAAAATATTGCAACTGAATCAGTTCACTCCTGTTTTGACTAAATTATGCATGAAGTCCTATTAATTTGTTGAAATTGTCAATATTCTTCCGTTTTTGTTTTTTTTATTTTTGGTGTTTTTTTCTTTGCTGCCAAACTAAATGAATTTGCCTCATTGCTTTTGAATGGGGGTTGTGGAACAACAGCTGGGTGAAAAACCTCCC